CAGTTCCGAAAAATATGTGGCGGGCTTAAATGCCTTGTGGCATGTTCGTTCGGTAAAAAGTTAGAAAGTTCGTTAGAAGGTCGAAAAGCAACACCATGACGATCCGGGACGAAAGTGCAGAAGGATAACTTGGCAAATGGTTCAGTGAACGGGGGTTTCGACTAAGTCCGGGTACGATGTGCGAATGTACCCCGAGGTCGGGTCTTTTCAGTGAGGTGATTTAACTTTAGCTGCCGTGCCTGATAATTTGCCGTGACAGCTGACACCCGTTGAGCAAAATTTATTGTCTCAAAAATCGTCCAAGTACTCCCCATTTGTCTATTGCGACCGCAGTTTAGTGAAGGCGTTTAGTACTGTGTTTGTTCGGCGCTAAAAACAAACCGGAACCATAAGCATATATACCATAAATATACATTCTCGCATACAATTAGAACCCGTGTAAAAGGTATGTTGATATATTATGCGAAAGGCCCAATTGATTAGAGCGCGAATTTACTGACCGGAAGGTCCGTGGTTCGAACCTGACCTTTCATTTCGACTTCCCCTGTCTAGGCTTGGGCAACCTGGCAGTATCCCAGTCCTCGTCCAACCTTCGGGTGGCATGGCGGTCAGGCACCGGAAGGTATCTTTTACACGGATTTTATTAGGTACGTAGACCCTGAGAGAAATTGTGGAAATATAACAACGAGAAGGAAAAATCCCGTAACACACCTCCAAATCTGGCACCTGGAGTCCTTGCAGTCTCAGGTTTGAGAACAATGTAAAGGTTCACAACCCAACTTTGAAGAATTGCTCATTCAGCAAGTTATCGGGTGTTACCGAACATTTTGGGAAGCATTAACAGCAAATGGAACGCAACTGTTCAACAGCCTTAGGCGTGATAACCAGCTTAGCCACAAACAAAATATCGGGACACAAGGTTTCTCTAGACGTTTCCTTGTTTGTACCTCCCGCGTGGAACAAAGGGCATAAATTTTTCGTAACACCTGTATTGCGAAACCCAGCAAATAAGGTGGGGGTGATAATCAGCTTGACTCAAATGAATCGAGACTAATGATTTCCCTTGAGCAATGCGGATGCGAGATTATCCAGATCAGGAGCTCTGTCTTCCGAATAAATTGTATGGTGGCTTGTTCCTCTGAAAAATTTCTTGTGGTAATATGCCGTCACCGGGCCGCTGCTTTGCGTTAAGATTCTTGATCCGAAAGCTTCGGTTTATGTCCCCAATCGCTCTCTGGTCTAGTTAGGGGCGCCCTGACTGTACCCCAGCTTGTGCACAGTGGTGAACTAAAAATACTACCATTCTACATCGGTCGTCGCGGTACCAGGTTGTTTTGCTTGGTGTGTGCAGCAGAACATGGGAAGACGTCTTATTTTTGACGCCTTCACTCATCCCTCTTTCTGCCCTACTCCACCCCATTGTGAGTACTGCTCCTCCTCGTCTCACAACAGTTGATAATTTTGCATAATTTTGGTAGTTTGGCATCGCGTCTAGCTTCTGTTCTTCCGTCTTCAGTGAGAAACTTGAACATCTCGAGATCATTTTTCAAGTGGAAATCTCCCGTCTGCTTTGCGTTTTTCATTGTCCTCACAAGCTGGACAACAAGAGGCACCTGCCTGTATGCTTGACTCCCTTTGCATTGAAGGCAAGTATCGCAATTGGGTTGACTTCCCCCTCTCTTTCCACTTCTGGTTGTGCACATTCTGTGACACTAAGACCGTTGCAGCTGGGGTGCCGGGCTGGATGGTGGTGTTTAACGGAACTGTCCATTCTTGACTGATTACTCGCTAGGTGTAGTATTTACTCGGTTCGTTTGAAAACGCCTGTGGAAGAATCCCAAGAAAAAGTGGTCCATCGCTCCGTTTATTTTATCTTATGCCCTGGCTGACTAGCTCTGAATAAAAAACCGTTCAGCTGTAGCACCCTTTCGGCGTCTAACTGCAATGTCACCCGAAGGTTGAGCGAGGGCTGGTATACTGCCAGGTCGCCCGTGCCTGGACATGGGAAGTCAAGAGACAGAGGTCGGGTTCGAACCACGGACCTTTCGGTCAGTAAATTCGCGCTCTAGCCACTTGGGCCATCACCACCTCTGAATAAACTGAAGACGCTTTCTGTGTGGTTCTGGGCGTTCTTCCGCCGGGGTTTGGAAGCCCAGGCAGAGCTCGTTATATGGGTGGTTATGTATGAGTGCGCAGTTTGGTAGGGTCGACCTTGCTGAGAATTAAGTTGACTGGTCCTCCTGAGTTTGACGCCAGATGGGCGGGGTGTTGGATGCTTGCTGCAGACATGTACCGATCACAGACTGCTTTTATACAGCACCAACGTCCGGAACTGCAGTGTTATGGGATGTTTGATGTTTTTCCAACCGTCAGCAAACACAAACTTAATAAGTGTTTCCGAATCGAAAAAGTACACCGAAGTTTACACAACCAATGAGCAGTTTGTAACAATGGACAGCTGTGTTTCTAAACGGTGATTTCTCTGTGACATACCAATCGACTGAATCGATAGTTCAGGCTAGCGCTCTATCGAAACTGATAGATTGTCTGTGGAGACAAGTTGAAGACCATCGGTAACGATGAAACCAGAAGTTCACGCTGTACTTACTACCTTAATTCGAGCACTACCTTTCACTTATGCCATGGTCTTTGACCCTACTACGCGAAACCCTTGCTTCAGACGGTGACACCGGATACGCTGCTAACCAACTGATCCCATTAGTTCAACATCCATAATCAATCTTGAGGACTGCAATACGTTCTCATACGATCGCATTTCCGATACCCTGGGATGGGTATTTGAGGATCCTGGCCCAAAACTAATTCCACTGGCCGACTATGGACAGGTAGCTGGAGATTATAGTTCCGACGTGTTCCAAATACCAATTGTCGTCAAAGTCCCATCGGAAAGCAGCATTTTGCTCGCAGTATGTGCCAGAAACCTCGATATCGCGAGGCATGTTGACTCTTCCAGTCTGCTTATTGAGCAACGTCATCTAATTATAGTGGAAGCTTACAGTAAATGGCTTGGGAACGCATTACAGTCCACGCCACCATTCTCTGCAGAACGTGTTTCATCTTTCTGGAGTTCCGGAAATGTGAGTCTCTGGGGACGGCGACGCATTAACCTTCGCATAATTTTACACTTCCTGTCAGCAGAGCAGTATCCAGTATATCTGGACGCCACCATTCCACCCACATTCTAAAGCAAAGTGGAGTGGTTTGTGTACGCTTTCAAGGGAGCGCTACGAAGACTCAGAGAAAGGCACACTGGAAATTATCGAGACGTTTCTGACGAGCCACAGATTTCCATATCCCGATATTCTAAATATTAGTTCGCGAAAAGATGCACCGATCAGTCGGAAAATCCGTCAGCAGCACCATCGCAGTATCCCAACTTAACCGTCATCATGGTGCTGCTATGTTTATGCGATTTCCATCTGTGCTGGCAAAGAACGGCCAGAGTATTTGGGTGTAACACTTACCTATAAAGTTACTGAAAACTCTTCTAAGTGGACCATCATAAATTAGCGATTCAATTGGATTTGATTGAGTCTCCTGTCTAGTCACAGTTGTGTGCGAGTGAGAGTATTAGTCGAAGTAGTCTCAAGGACTGCATACAAGGCTTTATTTTGCGTCGCAGTGACGTGCAATGTACGAAGTAGTGGGGTGTCTTCCATTTAAGTTGACCGTGCTACTGCTGGGCCTTTTTCAATCTCCCTATGGTGTTTGCACGCGACCCGCTTCTACCATTCGATCTATTGTTAGGCACTTTGAACCCTTTGAAACGAATGTCATTCCAGCTACTCGTATACTCATGAAGTGGACTGATTCGAACTCTATTCACGCCGATACAATGGAACTCGCCATTACGGTCATCAGATTGAGAACTTGAAAGTGAGCTGTAAAAATGGTCGCTTCTAAATGAACACCTCTATCCTGATTGTGTTCCTGATATCACCCTCTTTTCCCTTATAGCTTATGATTGCCACTCATTTGGACCGTGGTGCCTTCTTTCTTTCCGTTTTGTATTTTTCCTTTTTGTCTTCACGCCACCGCTAGCGGCATTTTCGTAGTCCCCTTCTTGGGGTCACCATCATTCTTGGGGTCCAACAAATTCGTTCGCTACCCATTGCCGCTGATTGGAATCTATGCGCTTTACCTGGCCACCACGGCCGCAGACACCGTTAAATCATTCTTCAAACTCTGACAGCCTCTGTCGTTCACACTGAAACAAGCTGGACAACAGGTTGCTGTTGATTGTGTACGGTGGTGATGCGTCAATGTTCTGTAATCTTGCTGTCAGTGATGGTGATGGATATTAGCGCTCTCTGTTGGCCCGTTATATCATTCATCCCCGATGTACGTCACATCAGGACCATCTATCCTTTCAGTTGCTTGCTGCATGAACGATAGACACAACCTGGGGATATCCTAACTAGTAGGTACTACAAGCGAAAATCGTCTAACCACATGGGACGACTGGCAGACCAGCTCGAAACCCCAATTTACCACATTGCGGTGGCAGATCAGTACCGGCTTTTTCCTCAGAAGTACAGTTGTAGACTCCGACCGTTCACTTCATGGCGTTTTTCAGATTTATACAGAACAAGCACAACTCGCTTGACAGTTGAGAAGCCCATGTAGCCGACTACCGAACTTACCAGAGCTGACTGTTCCAACGCCCGCCTGCCGTTCCGATGTCGGGTGTTAACTTGAATGGAGATAGATCGCCGTAGCTGTACTTGATGCCGGAACTGTAACCTGCGACACATCCCAGCCAAGCCCTTTCAAGCATTGGCTGTGATAAGACTTTGGCATTACTAGACGCTGGTTGACGTATTTCCTGCGGTCACAATCACAATCGAATTCATCCTACACAGAACAAAACTGGGCATTCGTGTAGGTCAGAAAGCTTGGTGGACTTGGGAGGTTGGAGAGATAGAAGAGGCGAAAAATTCTGAAAGCACCCACTAGTCGTTACATTTGAGTATTTCAACATGTCGTCGGAAGCCTCCCACCAGTGGGACTATGAAGAAACGCGTTCGTCGTCCAGCGATAGCACTCTTTTGGTGCCCAGCTGCCATGCCACCCAGAGGAAGTACGAGAACTGGGATGATGCCAGGTCGCCAAAGCCTAGACAAGGGAAGTCGAGAGACAGGTTGGTTTCGAACCGCGGGCCTTCTGATGAGTAAATTAGCGCTTTAACAACTGAGCGATCTCGCTCCAGTGCCCCCACTGTGCCTTTCTGATATCCAACAAAGGCGAACGTTTTCATCACTGAGCAGAATAATCCGAGCAGCAATTTCTGTTGGCCACCTCCTGCCGGACTGGCGGCCTCTGAAATGAACCTGAAGTGTGAATATGCTTCCTCTAGCCTACTCACCTGTTCCTGGTTCCGACTACCCTCTACCTGCTCTGTTCGAAAACCGCAGTGAATTCCTCAGTCAATACCTGTTTAGCTTATTTTCTTCTAGAAGGTGACCGTACCAAAGAGCTGAGCTGAGTTGACGACCGTACCTACGTTGAGGAAGGTTGCTCACGGCGAGTATAGTAAAAATGTGTCTGCTGTGTGTAGCTGCCATGCCACCCATCCGGAAGACCTACAAAATTTGCCATCTAACAGACTTCACTTCGAGCCTTATTCGATCTGTGCTTCTTTTTCAGAGTTTCTTCCTGTGAAACCTGAGAACCCTCAAGAGTGATTCCTATTTTCTCATTGGGCTTGGCGGACTACTGCACAATGAAGTACGCCCCGCTTCAGTTAGCTTATCGCAACTCATAGAGTAAATATCGACGGGATTCTTGTCTATTTTCCATACGAATATATCTACCCTGAACAGTACCATTATATGCTAGAGTTAAAGCGAACTTTGGACGCAAAAGTAACCTGCGGAAGTACTGGGAGACCTCCATTTAGGGTCATGGGGTTTTGGAAATGCCATCTGGCACGGGGAAAACAGTATCGTTACTTTCCCTGATCGTGGCTTATATGAAGGCCCGCCCCGGAGCGATTGAAAAATTTATTTACTGTTCTAGAACAGTTCCAGAAATAGAGAAGGTATGATTCGCGGACTTGATAAATTCAGTGTTTTCAGGTTGTTGAGGAGCTCAAAGTTCTTCACAAGTATTATGCCACAGAGACAAACGAAGACGGCTGTGGCCTGCTGGCGATTGCACTCAGTTCACGGAAAAACCTGTGCATTGAACGCGATGTACGCCGTGCGGGTGACGGGGCCGCTGTTGATGCCGCTTGTTTCCGACTGACTGCCAGTTTTGTTCGTAAGAAACATGCGAGCGACGCATCAACACCTTCATGCAAATTTTACGAGGTAGACAAATTATCTTATTTCTGACACCTTCAAGGAATTCGATTTGCATGGTCGGGAGCAGCCTCTTCCCTGTGGAATTTACAACCTGGTATGTCACACCTTTCAGTTGCAAATATTTCGTTTAAAGAACGATTTAAAAGCTTATGGTCGGAAACATGGTTACTGTCCATACTTCCTCGCAAGATATTCGGTACAGTTGTTTTTTTTGTGGAGTCGTAATCCTTTCTGTAGATCATGCATGCCAATATAATCGTTTACAGTTATTTTTACCTCCTGGATCCCAAAATCGCGAATCTGGTTTCTCGTGATCTTCCCAAAAATTCAGTCATCGTGTTTGATGAGGCCCACAATATCGGTAAGCTTCAATCTTATTTTTTTCACTGAGGAGTAATTGGTCGACTAGAATCTCATTGAACGCATTCGTTTTTATAGGTTAATGGTTCTTGTGGTTGATCGGTTGGTCACCCCCTTAACTGCCTACGCTCAGTATCATCGCCCCTCTGCAACACACCAAGTTGAACCATATTCTTACCTGAGTCAAACGTGAACAAGCGACCATGGTTCATAGTCCCCATCCTAATACGGTAAAATAATAGGACAGTATGCCCCATACACAATGTGGACCCACTGATGGTTGAATCACAAGTCTTGAAGCCCATGATTTTGCCCTGTAAGAAATCGCTTGATTTTAGGCCACAAACGACTTGTCAAGCCTCTCATCGTTGTAATGGTTTTCTGAATGGGGATAGGATTAGATGACTGATACCTTTATTCATTGGGATTCAATCCGCACTCAGCTTTGCTGACTGCCAGTGAGATCTGCTCGTCACAGAAAACAGACTAAAGAGCTAGTGCTATACGTATTTAGTTGGGAGGATGCACCCTAACGTCTAGCGTAGGCCCACTTGTAATGAACGAGCCTAGACCATTTTCGTTTTCTGTACACATCCATACAGCAACTAGCAGTTTTATTGTGACAAGTGAGTTTCGCGCTGACTTCACGACTGTCCGATAATGGTCTTTCCTCTTAATGTGAGTGAGAATTTGGCTGGATGGTGCCTTTCGGGTCGAACTTTTATTGTCAGTCCTGGAGTGAATTACAGAACAGACGGTGTATTATAGTGTCCTCACCTCAGGTATCCATGTATTTTCCTCGCTTACATGGTCGTTTTATGGTTATTTCTCCATATTTTTTCTCCATGTTTCTTAAAGATAATGTGTGTATAGAATCCATGAGTTGTGTGCTAACTCGGCGGTCCTTGGAAAAAGCCACGACTAGCTTGAACCGACTGACAGATCGCGTAAAAGATGTGAAACAACACAACGCCGAACGACTGAAGGAGGAATATCAAAGACTCGTCGAAGGTCTCCGGCAAGCCCAAGTGGCCAAGGAAACGGACCAAGTACTTGCGAATCCCAGTAAGTTGATTGATCGAGGAGCTGTGTTTACTGTGTTTATAACTCCATGGTTTCCTTTCCATGTGTTTCATTTCATCCAGCTGTCCGTCCCAGTCCGTTTCAGTCCCACACTTTTAATACCCAAAAATGAAATGAAACACACATGCCTCATTCAGTTGCTAATGGTGGATGCCAGTGAAATTAGCTTTGAGATCGTTGGCACTGTACCCCGTATAATCTTTTGGGTCGGAGTCGTGACTCGGTGCATGGTGTTTATCAAGCGTGAAAAATCCCGCTACTTCGCCCCGCCTAGCACAAATGTGTGGTACAACACTTTCCCATGTATTCTAGCACAGTATGTACCGGGAACTATTGATGGCATGTACACGTGGGTTGTCCGGTATCTCAAAAACACTTCTCAATTTTTTGCTGCTCTCAGTGGTCGCCTATGACGCTTATGGTTCCACTAAGCGGTTGTCCTTCACATCGTCATGCACGATTTGAACTGCACTGATGCAGTCCGCACCAGTAATAAATTTTCCTTTGTTTCAAGTAAGCCTTGAGGCCGCTTTTGGGCTGTATGTTCGGTTGAAAAATGGTGTCAACAAAAGAACCATTCACAACTTGTTTAAAGCTTTGCCTAACGTCAGTTAACTATGTTAATGGATTACAGTTCATGCCAAATTTAGTGTTCTGCTATGGTAAAGGATTGATTGAAATTCGTGGACTACGCCAACCCGATATTTCCCAACAAAGGTGGATCTACTAATAGGCGAATGGTTGAGGATGGTTGCTTGTCAGAGTTTTCTGGTCCGTTCTCGAACTATTTGTCTTGTAGGAGGAATTTCTGTCGAAAAATAGTTTGGCGAAATGTACATCACTTCCGAACGTTTGCTGGTAAGCGTATGGAGCTTTGGTGGACTTGTGAAAATGTTAGTACCAGCTTAATGTTTGTGTTCTGCCACGTTTTTCATCTGATACCTGTTAACTTATATCGGTTCACAGTACGGATCTTCTTGGACCAAAAAACGACCCGTAGTGAGTGCGCTAACCACTAAGGGATTAGCTTGACCCCAATCGTAACAAATCTCTTGGCGCCACTTGTCTTTCGTCGCCTTACAGTTGCTCGTAAAATATTGACTGGAGAGTAGTGACCATTATTCCTGTCTGGTGGCGTTCCATTGGCCAAATCTTCACGCTCCTTCAGGCTAGAACAACGCCATACGTATAAATTACCCGTAGTGTCATTATTCCTGGAACTCTAAGACGAATTGGCCTCGACTGGCTGGTCTTTTCTCCCTAACACACATGTTCTACAAGTGACACCTTGGAAGTTTGTGAACATAGTGAGTTTTTTGTAGTGTCAGATTTTGGAGCTTGCGAGTGCATTCCGAGAGCTCTCCAAAATCTTTCGTACACAAAGTGGTATCCGTCAAGTGTAATCACTCTCCCCACCTCTATTTAATTTGGTGATGGATGGGATATTGAGACGAACACTGATGTTCAAATGGCTACCGACGAAAAACTTTTCGATTTGGGATAAGCAGACGATATCGTTCTCGTCTTCGAAGAGGAGCAGAAGGCATCATTGGTTTCAAATCAACTGAGGAGAGTCGTATTGTCCTTTGGCGTACACATCGCACCCACGAATTGCAAGGCCATGCTTCTGAACGTGCAATCGCTGAAAAGCCACTAAGGCTCTGGTCGCGTTTGCCAATTTGGGACACCTTTGCAGCCACAGCGGCATATTCATAAATCCCAGGGTGTGGGTGCATCAGGCTAAAGTACGGGCTGTTTTGTATGGCTGCGAGACGTAGTCTGTTTGGCAGCCTTCAGGCCGTTGACAACCGTTGTCTCAGAATCATTGCTCCTGTAAGCTGATGTCGGCGAATCCGTAACAAAATTATTAGGAAGCGAGCGTTCGGTTGCACAACAGGGACTTCCATTGAGAGATGTGTCCAGCACCGGAAGCTGTGGTTATTAGGTCATGTATTGTGCGTGCCGAACCATTGCTTGCCGAGGATAGTGCTGTCTTCCGTGCCCAAGTTGACTAACCTTTGACCTATCAGAGGGGTATGAAAGATTTGGAAAAGTCTGGGTGCTGTCGATGCGATTCGCCTCTCAGGATGAGGACCGCTTGATCCCCACTGCACCTGGCTGGAGACGCTGCGAGGTGTGGCTGCTAATCGATGTCAGTGGCGTTCTTGTTGTCATCCAGCTTACCTGAATGAGTGTCTGGAGTTGTAGGCACCTCGAAGTGGTTGTCCTTTGCCCTTCCCTTCCTTCACAATAAGGCCTTCAAATAAATTATAGTTGTACGCCAGTGATCAGTGGTGAGGAATGACGTTACGCTGTCGGTTATGATGATGGATCTTTGCGTTTGACCTCCTGCTATCCGCGCTCTTCATCGCTAAATAGTTACTACCTATCGCGTTTACTTTTTTGATGTATTCCCTTTTAGTACTACCAGATGAGATCCTGCGTGAGGCGGTCCCCGGTTCTTTACGCAGTGCCGACAGTTTTTTGGCTTTTCTTCGGCGCTTTTTGGAGTACGTCAAACTTCGTTTACGCATAGCTCATGTGGTTCACGAAACGCCGGTCGCCTTCCTTCGAGACTGCTTGGAGAAAGTGTGCGTGGATCGACGGCCCCTTCAGTAGGTTCAAGTTCGAACACCATATAGAAATTTTGCATGGTGGTTTGCTGGTAGTGACCAAAATCTCTTTCAATCTACAATCGCACTTACCCATTTTCCACAGGTTTTGCGCTGAACGGCTACGGTCACTATTGAACACACTTGAACTGGCTGATTACGCGGAGTTTTCCAGTCTCACTTTGTTGTGTAATTTCGCCACACTAGTTGCCACGTACACTCGCGGTGAGTTTGGGTCATTTTTCGATCGTAGAATAAATTCTGCTATGTGGACACCGTATTTTCTTTATTATGAACCGTAATCTCTAGGTAGATATCGCAAACGCCTTGAAGGCAATTCCGGACGTCGTTTATGGCTTCTCATGGAGTCCCCCAAAACTGAACGAGTTGGGGTAGCTAAAATTTGTTGCATCATGTCCCATGCATGCATAGTCATTCTCTGTACAGGGCGGGGTCTCGTGAAACTTATGTAACTGTTCTTCGCACTGCTTTGAACAGATGTAACCCTCGAAATGCACTTCGTACAGCATCGTATCAACAGCATATGATCATAGGTTCAAAATGTACGAACCATCATAACAGTAGATACTAGCTAAGTTTTTCATTCTACGGTCCATGGAATTTGAGGACACAGTACCGGAACAAGTAGACCTAGCATTGCTGAGTTTGTTTGTCAAACACAGTGAGCATTATGAAATTGAGTACAAGGTTAAAGCAGGAATGACGTCGGTGCATCGTTTCAAAACCCAGCATCATCATCANATCGTTTCAAAACCCAGCATCATCCTCATCATCATCATCATCATCATCATCATCATCATCATCATCATCATCATCATCATCATCGACAGCATGACATCAGTGTTCAACACCGATGCTTCACTGCCGTACAACCATGACTTATTTGAAAGCCTTATTGTGAAGAAAAGAATAAAGGTGGATGGGGGAGGGACTTAGTGCTAGCTTAACACAATCATTCCGAGGTGTCTACACCTCCAGACATTCACTCAGGCAATCTGGACAGAAACTGACAACAAGAACGCCACTGACATCAAAACCCAGCGGGTTTGTCTGAACCAATAATATGTTTTTTCTATCCCCAAGCATATTTTCTCCACTTTTGAAACACCTCTGGACCCTAAGATTTAGTGTGATATTTGTGATGGTTCACGCTCAAGCATTTTCAGTTCACTTGGTGTTTGTGTTTTGCTCAGACTTGACTATCTGTTGTCACACCTAAGCTCCTGGGCTTCATAACCAGCGTTGTGGCTGTGCTAGTTTGCACATCAGTTATGAAAAACTACAGAAAATAACTTTCTATGTTTCTGTTTCTAACTAAGCACCGTAGGTAAACTGGGGACGTAGGCGAACAGTAATGTGAGATCGAATAAAAGTTAGTTTTGCCGAAGTAGTGTGCCTACTCAGTTATTTATGCCCAATTTAACTCCTGCATTGTTGTTGAGCATTTTTAGAATCCCCGTCCCCAAACTGTAGTCGGTGTGGTTCAGAAAGGCTTACCAGTGTTTCAAGTGTTAAAATGTTGGTTCATTTGTGGACAGAAATTTAGCTGCATGGATTCCTCATCGGCCCTGGGACAAAACTCTATCTTGTATCACAGCCTTTTTGGTCAGGGTTGTGAATCAAATGCTTAGGTTAGGCTATCTCACATAAACTCCTGGAAGTAACATCCACCCACACGGCTTAGAAGTAGTCCCTAGTCTCCTTAATTTACCAGTGCCAACTGATGACCATCCATGCCATTAGAGGCGCCCTATTTGACTGCATTTCTCCGAACAGCCGACTGTGCAGTCAGACTGACTTAGCCTGTTAGAATTTGCAACCAACGACTCCACACCCGAGATGTGTTCTGCATACGCTCCAACAAGCTGCAGCGGTGACCCTGACACAGACACTTTTTATAGAGAACTTCCGAAACTTCTGCGGATGGCTAAGTGCACAAATACCACTAATAGGCCAGTGATCTGAATGCCCAGTTAGGCGGAATCGACACAAATGAGACTCATCTTAGTGGAAGATTTGGTCTGGCTGATTTCAAAATCGGAAACAGCTATCGCTTCCTACAACTGCTCGACGGTCATCGTCTGTTGGTCGCAAGCACAAACATGAGCTTCTCGTTATCTCGCACATTCCGAACCGTAGCCACTGGCACACAGACTGGCCACATATTAGTTAACTATGGGTGACGATGTTGTGTTCAGAGCGTCGCATATTTATCACCTAATTAGGAATGCATAGATGCGGTGAATCGTCTTTAGCAACAAATCAGCTGGTTGTCCAGTTGATTAGCTGATTCGGCTGCACCAAGTAAATCGGCACTGCCATTTGCTGTGTATGTCAGGTGATTGATTGTCTCGCCGTACCCTGTTCGCTGAGGCACGCTCCTACTAGAATATCCCAGAAGGTGGATAGTGCATGATCTGGGGATCGAGTGTGGAAAATACAACAAAGGATTTTGGCTGCGCTGCTGAATGTCGTCTGTGACGTTAGGGTATCAAAAACTCATCACGTTAATTATTGTAGGCACTCACCGGCATGGTGATGTCACTCAACCAATGCCGGTATTGTATATATTCTCTTGTTCTCAATCATTAGTCCACTCTTCCTGTTTTTTAAAATGCTTTTGGTACACCCTCTATCTTATACTACTCACTGTCATGAGCTGCGGTACCTTAAGCCATACGCGAACGCATCGCGGCCGTCAAATTGAACCGAACGCGTTTTCTTGAGGTTCACTCTTTAGTGTACCAAATGGTTTTGGTACTCTGCACTAACATCTACTTTCGGACTGTGAACTCAAACACGCTTTACATGAAACGAGGCACAACCCACGTACTAGGTTGGCTCAAATGTCTCGGTTTTTCGCACCTGGGACGGTTGTGTGGCAGTTTCCAGACGCTTTGTCCACACTTGCCGATTGCTCAAGCTTTCAATGGTAAAGTGCACCGTCTTTTTCGATGGTCTCGTCCATGATAATAAACCCTGTGCACAAATGCTGTCATGTTTCCTAGCATATTGGTGGTGAATTATACCAGGCTTGGGTCATGGGTTATACTGGTCCCATGAAGCTTGGGCACCGCTTATTTTCTCTTCAGCCGTCGACTGAGTGCTTTGTGTGACAGTCGCTACTCATTACACATCAAGTAGGTGAAAGTGCATTAGGCAGAAGTTTATGTGTCGTAGTTGCCACGTGCATAGCCTGGCTGTGTGACAGTGGTGTGAATGTGTTTCTTATTCACTAAGTTAACTGTGTCGGGACAGCTGGAGGTACCCTCTGTTCACCTAGCACCCACCACTGATATGGTACCACTTTGATCGATTAGAGGATTAGAATTGGCAACAACTGGTCATCGTGTTGACCACAGGGCATTCTCGTCAACATCATTGGCGTACATACTGGCACTCAACTGTCATTAGTGATATACTTACATATGGTCCCGTCGGTAGCGTGAAAACAGATCAGCAGAAACAACCCAGTTTACCTTCACCGTTTTTGATTATGTATCATTCCTTTTCGAATTCTGTCCACTCTCCATTCCATCTACTGTATTAAGTTTCACTTTTTCCAGTTGAGTGAAATTTGATTTGTACGGGTTCTACAGGTTTCTGCCTCATCATCGAACCTTTTGACGAGCGTTCGCCCACGGTGATCAATCCAGTTTTATATTTCTATTGCATGGATGCCAGTTTGCCAATTCGACCCATCTTCAGTCGGTTTGCCAGCGTGATAATCACGTCGGGAGTAAGTTCACTGTGCACGGGGAACGCACGCGCTTATTGCACAAAATTCAACAAGTTTCAAAGTACGGCAAAATTTTTAACCTCCGTACCCTGAGTTTCTTCTCAAATTGACAGTGCCCTCAAATAAATAGTCTTGGGCACCATTTTCGGCATTACCGGACCACTTAGGACTGCTAGGATATGCCTGGGTTTACCACACTCAGCCGCCAAATTAGCTGATGTTGACTAATCTAATTGCAACGAATTTTTACCACTTCCCAGGGGTTGCAACAGTGTTGATCCTCTTGTCTGGATATACTAAACAATGATGGCATAGGCCTTTTTGGCATTGCTGAGACACCAAGCCAATAGTCCTTCAACTGTGATATCCTCTAGATGTGTAGCTACTGTGTACTTCGAAGGGATCACAAGGACTGAGACGCTTTCGGGTTGCTAAGGCCTGGAAAAAAGTAGTCGAAAGGTCTGGACCAGGTTCGAGCCAGGGATCTCTCCGGACGAGCTCTAATGCCTCACTACAACATCCGTTTTCATAGTAACAGCTGGCTTCGTGTTCAAGCGATGGGGTTCAATTGAGGCGAATTTGAAACTGATAATTGATCGAACGTTGGCTTAACCCGTCTATTCAGTTCTTTCTCCTCTTTGGAAAACGATGGTGCCCATCATATTAAAAAAAACACGACCCGTCTGACGTATTGCTGTACCACATACATGCTTACGGAACAACCATTTTACTTTCAGACCCTCTCCCCACTTGACATGTATCCACGTATTTTGGACTTTCATCCGGTGAACTCTGCCTCGTTCACAATGACTTTGGCCCGCAGCTGTGTGCTTCCCATGGTAGGTTGGCTTCGTTTGTTGTCTCATTAGGCGTAGTGTAATCACAGTATTGTTATTCTGTAGAGACTCGTTTGACTCTTATCATACTGGACAAATCTGTGCTCTTCAGTTAAACATTCTCTTCGTGTTCGTGATTAGCAAATTGAGTTACAAGCACGCGAGTTTTTGTATACGAATTCCGCTTTCGGTCGTGCGTATCCCCTTTTGTTCTTCAGTTTTCCAACTATAGTTTAAGCGTTCGGTAGCCTTGTGAATTGGTAGGGACCTCTACTGTTCTCTAATTCACCTCTAAGTAAATGCCCTGCGGCCTTTTCATGACGAATTTCACCAGTGGTCCTGTTTCCCCTAAGTTGAGCGTTCGATGACTGTGGAGATACCGGACATGATCCATGGTGTTGCGCATAACTCCAGTCCGGCCTCAACATCTATACAGAGCCGATGCAGGAAATGACGGATGTTCCTCGTATTCCCACCTATCAAACCGGACTGTTACCACGGTCCTTTAGAGTGCGGTCCAATTTCGCCGTTCGCGCACTACCAATTGCGAAGACAGTTTCTTACTAGTCGTCAGCAACCCCGTGTTGCGCCGTTTTGATGCACCTCTCTCTCTCTTCAACCTATCACTAGGATACATCCATATAGCGCCCTTCCTCAAACGGTTCATCATTTTCAATCATCATTTTTCCCCAGATTGTATCAAAAGGAAATGACCAGGTTCCAATGACGACGAAATTCGAGAGTAGGGAGGACATGGGTACGTTTTTTGCACTTTTTATGTCCATCCATTGTTTTTATCTGCATTTGGCATTTCCTGATCGCCGACGTTTAACTCGCCTTTGTTTGTGACAACCCGAGAATTGCTGGGTACGTCTCACTGCCAAATATTTTCTGGGAAATGTCCGGCGCTAAGGAATATCAAAACTATTTGTGAACACCATACACTAGTATACGCTGTAATGTTTCGACATTTATTCCCCTTAGCTTTGTTAATCGCAAACGAGTGTGCATGGTCAGGCTGGATCACGGGGATCCAGTTTTGAATCGAAATCTAAAAACACATAATTCAAACGAAAAGAATAGTGCTCTTGTCTGTTGATAGGTGTATGCAGCTATGAACCGTGATCCACGTCACGCATTTGTACTCGGACTCTTCGTCGACAGCCGAGGACTAACGCTCTGAATAATGGGTCTCTTGCGCGACCGTCATTATAAATCAGGAGACTGGTGAAGAAAATAAGAGACTAAATAACCGCTGAATGGGAAGCTCAAATGCACACGCTACAAGAGACGAATCGAATTTATACTCCTATATAACAGATCGTAGAAAATCATTCAGGTGTAGCAGCCATTTGGTGCCTAACTATCATTCCACCAGAAGGAAGCACGAGGACTGGGATACTGCCAGGATGCCCAGGCATAAACATAGAGGCAGAGGTCGAGTTCGAACCACGGACCTTATGTAAATTTTTGTCCCTGTTGTTTGCACCGATACCACATGGAGTTGTCAAAGGATTTTTACTAGTTTCGGGTCTGGGTTTTCTCAAATGTGCCTTCCTTTTCTCCCTCACCCATAGACTCGCTACATGTCCAAGTGTACGCGATCTCGTCCCATCAGTTCTGTTGCGACTGCTGATTTGGCGTAGCCGTTCCACATTATCCCCAGATCTGTTGTAGTTGTTTTTATGCTGAGAAAGCTGTTCACCTTTCCTTGTAACTGGCCATTTTCTCCGTCGGGTATTTTGTATAAACGGAGAGTGACTAGCTAACGCAGGCGTGGTCGTCTGGGATTCTTGAAGCATCGCTTTGGTATATGTTTTTGAAATAGGATCCGGTAAAATGCTATCACCTTATGTATCTTCAAACTTTTAAATAGTTCCTGCACATGACAGTTAAATTTCCTACAACAGGAGCTTATCTTAACATATTTGGTGTCCAGACACCTGGACAACTAGTCCTTCATTCTCGCCATCAGATTTCGGGACTACATCAACTGATGGCTTGAACCCCTCGAACTCAACATTGTTGGGTAATTTTTCTTCGCACACGCGTTTATATGCTCATCTCCTGTAGCCTAGTCCTCACTTCAACTGTGCAGTGATTCCAGTGGGCATAAGGTGGGACAACTTCCAATATGACGTGAACGTGTTTTCTAACATCTACGGTGTATTTCGGTTTCGCCAGGCCACTGTACTGAACGTTCTTTGTGCGCGCTTTCCCTTGGATGTACGTTTTTAACGCCCTGATTAATCGAGATTGGTGTGCCTTCATTGTACTTTGGAAGTAGTCGTATAATTCTGTCTGGAAGGTCTTCAAAATTAGCTGTGCTTTTGTGACGGAGTTGCAGCAGATCAAACAATAATTGCTTTAAAAGCCCTCATAACAACCTGCAACAGACCTTTCTGGAAATTAACGTGTTCTTTCACTCCTTGGCGCTGTAACCCAGTCATAATGTCAGAAGCCTTATGAACGCGTCATTCTGAGTTATTATCGACGTAAAAGAGAGCAGCACATTGGATAGTAGGTAGCTATCAGCCAACTCAGTGTCGATAGGCTGCAAATTTGGTTACCGATCTTTGGGACGGTCCGTTCACTACTTAGAAATTATCTCGGCACTTGCCTAGAGCCATTTCTCCTTCTGGAACACGATTCTGATCTAGCTTGTTGTCTGCCTGCACTGAAACTTGTCCCTGCTTGGCCCAGTGTCTCGCTTAAAACACTTCGTGAATGGCCTGTGGTTAGGGAATCTCCCTCAATCCCGTTAGTTTCGTGCCCGTCTATGTTTTCAACTGTTTGACACTAGTGTCATTCTTCATGTCAAGAATTCCATCTTAAGGGTTTCTGTGACTTGGCATATACAAAAGGGAAATATATAATTGTTGCTCATTCGTTCATCATTATAGCCCAATGGACCTAATCGAGTTGATGTTTGAAGTTTTGGCTATCAATAGTTTTCTGGTGGCTTATGTAGTTACTGGAAACTTTTTCGGCTTTAAAACGGACTCCAACGGAATAACTGATTTGGCTGGTGACCGGTTAGTCACCCAAGACAGATGAGCAACGGAGCGCGCCTTTTAAAACTCTTATCAAGACTATGATTTCAGGTTGTGTCCTCATATTGTCCCATTCCGCAGAGTTGGCAACAATAATTCATAGTTCGGCTGTAGAGTATGCAGTAATCCTCTCAGGGAAGGGGTCCATCTATAGACAAACTCATAATCCGGGGTTCCACTGTTGCACCACCTCTCATCCGGCCGTGGTGTGTGATTTCGCAGAAGCACTGTCTTCAGGCTGAGCCAAACAACTCCTCGAAATTCCTAACACTTTGGATTGTGGTATCTGGAGTCCAACATATGTCGCATTACGGACTGGAAATATACAGTCCTGGTGTGTGATTTCGCAGAAACGCTGTCTTCAGGCTGAGCCAAACAACCCCTCGAAATTCCTAACACTCTGGATTGTGGTATCTGGAGTCCAACATGTGTCGCATTACGGACTGGAAATATACAGTCTCTTTTTGTGGCTTTACGTGGGTGGGCAGGGGTGATCAACCCCAGCTGACTAATGAAGGCGACACTTCTGGTGGATTTCAACATCTTTCCTGTTTGGTGTAGTTTGTTCCGCTCGTGTGAAAACGAACACATAACCCCTCTCAGAATGCTGTTGAGAAATAGCGTCGATACGGTTGACGAGAAATAGGGGGATAGCCCGCTGAAAGTGGATTTGCACACAGGGAGCAAAACCTTTACATTTGGGCGTCGGCCAGGTCTGCCGCTCACCAGAGCGGGAACACTGACAACACGAGATATGGGACACAATCAGATAAACGATGAAAAATAGTAATTGAACATTGCCAGAGACAGTATAGCTGCTTGGAACACCACAGAGAAACGAAATAAACACAGTATAAAGGAACGCGGTATAAATCAGTTAATGGGGCGCTGGGCTCTCTCGATCAGATGCGTAATTTAAGGTTGGATTCCGATTCAACTGACCTAGTGAGATGTGAAACAGTAGTTCGTGAAACTGACATCAGGTATTGAGGACCGTAACTTTTAAATGAACTTCATCGTACTTCTCTTTACTATTTCCTTTCAATCTTTGCTATGATTCACTGTGTTTGTATGGCTTTGCGTAGTTGGTAACACCTGAACGAAGATAACACTCCTACCATTTTCTTCCAGCTGTTGTGCGGAACTATGGACATCTGTTAGCCCAGCTAGCTTCAGTCGTACCCGATGGGATCGTGGCTTTTTTCCCGAGCTATCACTATCTGGTAAGTGTATCATCCATTTCGTCCTGTCATTTGGAGGCTTTTAACATGCAGCACACAGCGGCACTTTAAACTATTTTAATAGTTCTTCCGCACGGTTCGACATACGCTTCTTACTTGCGAATCCTAAAGTACAGCTACATGGCTTGGTAGGATGGAACCCAAGCCTCTGTTTGCGGACCAGCCAGTCGACGTAGTGGATAGATTAGTTTACCTAGGTAGTTGTATAAGTCCCTTTGGACTGGCTGGAGACAGGATTACTTTTATCTGGAAGGTCAGAGCAGCTTTTGCCGAGCTTCGATACCTATGGGGCCCGAAGTGATGTCAGTTCGTCTATTCATGATGGAGTATAAACTGCTATGTGCCATCCATACTGCTTTATGGAACAGAAACGTCGACATGTGGAGGACATATGAAGGCTGTCTGTGTTTGATCATTGGTGTCTCTGAAGCATTGGGCGGATCTGGTGGGAACATAGGATTAGCAATGCTGAGGTACGCCGGATGGTTTTAGGAAAAAGGAACTCTGCCGTATGGGATGAGCTACTCACACCTCATAGGTTACACTGGTTAGGACATATACTTCGCATGCCAAAGGGCTGTCTGCCTCGGAGCTGTTGAGTTTGTGTTGAGTGGAAGTGACTGAGAGGTCGATAGTGTTATATCTTCTGATTCGCCGACCTCTGGTGTCTGCTGCTAACCCGCTCCAGCGCCTAGTTGCCGAAAAAAGACTCACAGAAGGGAACACAACAGCTATACTCCAAACAAGCGAGTGCGAGAGCGTGAGTGCGTGCGAGTGCGAGTGTACAACGGTCTCAAGCTATTTATTGGAGGGACACTGTCTGAACTCGGTCCAATGCTGACGCACACGGTCTGGCTTTGGTACGAGGCTGTGACGTGCTGCATACTGCGGGGGCGTTGTCTGATCTTGATCAACGCTGACTCGCGCTGCCTGGGTTTGATACAAGGCTGTGACGCGCTGCATGTTGAGGGGGTGTTGTCTGTCTGGTCAACATCTAGCGGAGCTGAAAGTCTCGGCAGATTTCGGGCATTCAGTGGCTGCTTTCAGGAAGCCGACCTTCCTGATAGATAGTCTATGACATGCCGCCTCCCTGGACAGGGGCCAAGAAACTCAACTCAATTACGTCCTGAGGAATGAAACCCTCCTATCCCTCCAGGACAAAATTAAGGTCGTTCAGCTCAGTTGAAGAGAGCTCAGGAGACAGTGTTGGATTGATCTAAAGCTGCTACGCTTGGAGCTGATGAGGGTTTGTGGTATGTCACCATTATGAAGTTGCTTTCTTTGATGCTACTTTCCAGGTGCCAAGAAAAAAGTATATGTTTCGTGACTCTCGTCGTGTTAAGCTGTGTTCGACTGCAAAGTGTGGGACAAGTGACCAGATTGGTGATTTTGGTACAACCATGACCTACACAACTGATGGTGATTTCGGTACTTCAACAGTTTACGTTTAACAATGCCGCAGATGGTGCTCTTTACGTGACAACGGAATCTGAGCGCGACTGATCGGAGATGTAACTGAAAGGCGACAATGAATGTGGAATACCCAGCATATTGGGTGAGGTCCAATTGATTAACGCTCGAAATCAGAGTCCAGAATTCAGAACTCTTGGGACTTACCAGTAAAGTGCGGTCCATTGTGCACAAAAGTACGTATACGAAAGGGACACAAACAAAATTTTACGGGGATTTCTGTATCCATTGTTGCATGGATTAGTGCAAGTCCAAAGGAGGCTTAAAAGATCTAAAAACACTTATAGAAACAGCATACCCGGAGAAAGCGGCAAATCTATTTGAATTAGCGATAAACTTGTGTGCACGACACCTGGTAGCACAGTGATCAAAAAGTGCGCCTAAAAAGTCAGCCAAAATTGGTTCAACAGGTCAAGGATCAAAAGTTCATGAGGGGTTAAGGGTACGTATCAAACCTATGCGTTTGACTAAAAAACTGGTGGGTTCAGGCAAGAGGAGGCTTTGAATGATAAAAATCAGGTACCGCGGATGACCAAGAACAGCAGACTGGTTTCAGCACCTTGGGAAGCGTCTCACAGTACCTCCTTCAGTTAGTGAGTTTTGATGAAAGAGATGAGATTTTCCTCCCATCTTCATTAGCCAACGAGAAAGTTATTCAAACAGACGCAACTGAAGGGCGCATCCTTTGAAGTGCAAACAGTCCTCCCGGTTTCTTCGTGAATTTTCATTTAGGTACTGTTGGTTGTGGGATTTTGCAAAATACATACTCATATGACTCCCGTTTGAACATTCGTCCTCCTGTCCTCGTGCAATCATTTTGATGAGTCCACACTAAATTTGGGCAGCGCTGGACTCGAGTTTCGCTCTTATTAAAGCTCATCAGCAGTGCATGTCCAATGCCGTGCTGCGGTTTGAACTCCGCACATCTGCCATGAGAGGCGAGCGTGTTACCACCAGCTCACGCTGGACTCATCCGGATTTTTGCGTCTAAACAGATGAACATGTTCGCTCTTGAGTGATGTGAGCAGAACACCTGACGCCTCTGGTACAAAACTAGGGATCATCCAAACGGGGACTTCTTCCCTACTAGGACCGATTGGGCCTTGTCCAGGGTTGTTTCTACTAGATCTATTATGTTTACACTAAACTGAACACTGGACACAAAATTCAGTGCATTAAAGCTGACTGACCGGTTTCACATACACACTGGTTTCACATACACATCATTCACCATAGCAAGATATCTACACCTATTTTCCTATCATCTGTGGCAAACGATTCATCTCTTGTACACTGTTGACTGCACCCGTTACACAAGCCGTCTTTTGGTAAGCAATGCGTACAAATCAGTGGCCCGTGTCAGACATTTGTTTCGAGAGCACTTCTCTGTGCCACCAAAAGTTAGGTGCTTGTTTCTCATTTGTCCCCCAGTTGGTTGCAACACCCCCTTCGTGTTGGCTGCACAGCATCCTATAACTAGCACACCATCTGCTGCGTCCTGAGGTTCTAACGGACACCACTAGACTGGTCAATTAATTGATTAACATTATTGGTCTAATGCGTGAGTACATCGTTAGTTTTACAGCTATCATGATCAATCCCGCCACTAATTGAGTACTATGGTCGTTGTTAGAACCATAGATGTGAATAGAAAAAATGTATGGTTCGTGGATAATCACTCATAGTTCGCCCTTCATGTGTGCAATATCATTCAAGTTTTGTCCAACTGCTTATTCCATCTCTCCGGTTGTTCCCATGTGCAAAACAATTTTTTGGCCTTTGGAGACATCATTCTTGGTTTGGTATTGAAACCGTTGAAGGTGACAAATTTGTGGGCATAGTAACACTTTCTGGAGTACGAATACATTCTAATTAACAAATAACACAATGCGGAAATTGCATATATGCAAACTGCAAACTAATTTAATCCTCCAGTACGTCTGTTGTCATGATTTCGATGTACAATGTACAGCTCGGGTCTGTCTCGGAATCTATCAATACTCCGAAAATGCTTAAGAGAGTTGGTCAAAAGTTGTTTACGACCGGTTCACCCCGTGTGAGGGTAGCCTATTCTGTGAAAACATAATCGACTTTCTATCTTCTATGCCGTTAGTTTGAACTTAAACTGAAGTCATCCGCTCGATTTGTTCATGTAGTCATTGCCCTTTTTTCGTACTTAACTGCCGCTGGCCCCCGTTTGCAAAAACATTTCCTTACGAAATAAGCATTCAACTTTCGATAGATACACTCATTTGCAAATCAATTTGGTTTTCACGGGAGACTCAAACGAGTTTCTCGTTCATGATATTCTTCAACCGAATGTGCTGCACACAGGCCGCCTCACGTTTCAGTTGGCACGATATTCGAGATATCGCAGTATATTTTATGGGCTCTCGAAGAGTTTTCAGCAACCTTGTGGGTAGTTTCCTTCGTGAAAATATACTGCGATATCTCGAATATCGTACCAACTGAAACATGAGACAGCCTTTGTACAGCACACTCAGTAGAAGAATATCATAAATGAGAGACTCGGTTGGGTCTCCCGTGAAAACCAAATTGATTTGCAAATGAGTGTATTTATCGAAATCAGTCCAATTTGGCTTCAAGTGGAACATAAGGTTGACGGAAACTCGGGGACTGCGCCTACCTGATGATCCCAAAAATGACGAAACTGGTCGTGGACTGTCGGAGAATTTTCAGCAACCTTGTGAGTAGTTTCCCCTGTGGAAACACTTGCCTCGTTTAGTTCTGTATAATATAGCCTTTAGAGTTGTGTAACTGGTTATCATTATCTTAAATTATGAACTACATCTTTCCAATGGTCTGGAGCTGCTCCTAGGTTTCCAAAATTTTGTAGTGGTTTAGCATTGCAACGAATAACTGATGTGTCTGATCGCAAATAAATTGGGAGAAGGATGACACTATTGTCCCCCAAAACACCCGATTCTTATTGCTGCCAGCTTACGTAAAACTCCTTGTGAATCACAATTCATGCTCATCATTTGTTGAGTCCATTTAGTTGAACCTATACTACTAGTAGGAGAAACAGTGGATAAGCAGTTAGCTCTTTGTGGGGTCCACTGGATGCTGTTCTCGTATGTCTTTGTTCTGCTTGTCTCCATCTGCGGCCAGTTCATCTCATTAGTCGATGGGCTGTTTCTCGTTTGTTCGCGCGTAGCTAATAAGTGATCCGTTTGGATGTGTATTCATTTGGTTTCCGATCATGTGGTGACTGCGTTAACTAATTGTATCGTTTTACGTCAAAATATCTCCCCGCTTAAAAATAGACCAGTATGTGAGAGAGTTGTTAGGTTAATTAAGCTTATTAGAGCCGTTAGGATGTGTTCTTGGTGTGTCCTGTATCTACGAGTTTTTTCACGGTTATTGTGGAACCTCAAACCAACTAAATCACATAGTTTGCGTTTCCAGCCACATAGCGGTGGGGGGAGGACAGAACTGGTACCCTCTCATGCAAACCCATAGGTTACTCACTGCATGCTGTCTAGTTATTGCAGCACCTTTGGTAATATCAAACAGTTCACACCACCGTCCGCATCAATCCTCCCATCTCATTTTGTCAGTCATTTGTTACTGAAGCCGTATATGCAGTAAGGATGAAGACCCCAGTACAAAAAAAACAAGGTCGCTGTTGAGAGACGGTTTTTATTGATCGAGTCACGTGTCGTGGTTTCGGCCTTTTGAACGGAACTTGGATAATATCATTCAGGTGATTGTAGTAGTGAGCCATACACGGATTTCATACACGGGTCTAATATTTTCCCAACTCGCGGTGCGAGCTGTCTGCTACGTGATATTTCCTAAATTCGTTTTTGACCTTGTTGCTTACTCATTTGTTCACTATTCGGACGCACAGATTTGTGGCCAGTGCATGTCTATTCATGCACGGAGATTAGGTCTTCTTAAAACACGGTGACTTATTTCCGGCACATGTTTTGACCACCATTGCACACTTTCACTTTCATCCTTGTACTGTGTCGTTATAAAGATTGATTTTCTAACTGCTCGCGTTCGTTTACAAATGCACATGAACCTTTGCTTTGGGAATTTTCTCGGCTTCCCTTCCACTCGAGTGTGAGTGACCCATTTTCTATGTGAGCCGGAATGTTTTGCAGTGTAGACCTACTTTAAGGTAGTCCATGTCTCATTCATTACCGTTTATAAATGCACACGAACTTTTGCTTTGGGAATTTTCTCGGCTTCTCTTCCACTCGATTGTGAGTGACCCATTTTCCATATGAGCCGGAATGTTTTGCAGTGTAGACCTACTTTAAGGTAGTCCATGTCTCATGAATCCTTTCCAACAAACTTCTCCTGTGTAGCCGGACTGTTCCAAAGTTGGTATTCGGATCGTGATATGTGCGCATATTGCCAACCAGGTGAAACTGTGGTTCAAACTTTTGTTTCAAGTAACTTTATAGACGCTAGGTTGTTATATTTATAAGACGTTGGTATCTGATGGAATCGTTTGCTCATGCCTCGAACCCTTGTTCCACATGCTATTGATATGAATGACGCTCGGTTTTTCCTCCTACTTTCCTCAGGAATCCACTTTTGCAACGTGGTACGAACAGGTGCGTTCATTCACAGTCATCTGCGCTCATGGTACTCGTATTTGTCATACGTTTCAGTGAGCTTGTTTTCTCTAGACGGCCAGATACTCCTTGTAGGATCTGACAGTAAAAGAAAGAACTAGGGTTGACTTCCTTGCATCTTAGTGGAACACCAATATTCCATTTTGATTTTGCCGTCATTGTTGAAGTGGATGGTTATTGGATTGTAGTAGATGTGTTCAAAGGTAGCATACCCGAGAGTATGTCATCACTGTTTTTAGTGAGAAGACTCTAATTGAACCAGCTTGATTAGATCTTCAGGATGACCGCTTCCTTCTTCCTAACATACGCATAATATGGATCGACAAAGGAATTGCAACACCGGCGATTTTGAAGTTTCTTCGCCATTCACAATTATATTCTGATAATTATGTACAGGGGTGGAGTAAATAAGCATCCTTTTTGTGCTCTACTGTTTATAAGAAAGCGTTTTGAAAATTTCGGCATATTATCACGCTTAATATATTTCGATCCTGCTCTTGGGCCCAGGATAATTTAACGATAATTGCCCAAGTTCCCGACCGAGGGATTCGTTGTTCACAACCACCAACCAGTTAGTTCTCTTCGTTAGGTATTCCAGCAGTAGCTGGGCTCTCCTGCTTCCTTCTAATGGGAGGACCGGACATCTGTATCACACCACATCTGGGACGCCTACTGATTTGAATTACCTTTTCTGTCGCGGTTCAATCCGCCGTCTGTTCTTCTAGAGTAAGGCATTAAACCCAATCGGGTCGACAGCTGTTACCTCCCCGGATGGAGACCCCCTGACTCATTTCATCTATGATTAACAACAATGGCAGACATAGCTGGCTGTAGCTGTCCAGTTTCCAGAACTAACTCACAATCTCCCATTTTTGGGTGACGAATTTGTAGCAGCCGGAACCAACGTACCCTTGGTGGATGTTTTGTAACTGATGGGATGAGCTCGACTGTACTTAGCTTCCCAACTCGTTGAGTCCATGAATATGACCATTGTTGTTACCATACAGCATGAACAACCGTACATTTTTGTTATACACCGTGTGTCAACTGCAGTTGATCAGAATCGGAATACCAGAGTGGTCGCCTATTTTCTCCTAACCGTATGTATTTTGTGTGCTCCCCGTTCTTATCTAGCATTTGATTGAACAAATCCAACGCCACAAGCTACTGTTCGTGGAGACGCAGGATGCAGAAGAAACTAGCCTCGCGTTGGCTGCCTACCATCGAGTAAGCTGTGTGTATTGAACTAGGTTAGCGATGTTTGTCTCAAATACTGTGGTGAAACTGTGGTTTAGGATCCGGCCATTGGAATGCAGTCGATTCTTAATTTTCTAATCGATTTTGTCCTTATTGTGTAGCAACTGCTTTTCGACCGTACTCACCCATCTGAAGAGATTTACATAGACGTATCTGAGTTCGCATATGGTTTTCACCTGAAAGTCCTGTTTTGTCACTGGTAGTTGTTACCTGTAGTTATATTGATCGTTCATGTGACCGTTCAAGCCGTCATCTGACTGTTTACATGGCCTTTCGTCCGGTGTGCTGCTAGACAGATTATATTTGGCATCAACTTGATCCACGTTACGTATCTAGACAAGTCCGAAGTGTGTCCCATTTGGTCGTTCCATCCTGGACTATCGTGCACTTTCTCGTTGTTCTACCGAACCGTTCCTTCCCATCTAATAATATCACGCTAAGATAGCAAGTCAATGTGGTGCCGTATGGAACAAAGCCGTAAGCACCAGCGAGCAAGTTATCTGACTTACCCAGCGGGAACTTACTGACTGGAAAATCCACGGTTGGAGCCCAACCTCGACATCTCAACTATTCCTATCTAGGCTTGGACAACCTCTTGTTCCTTTTGGCTGTGCACTGGAAAGATGTTGCAACTGAATGATTATTTATTTGTTGTTAATTGGAGTAGCCAGCGCTCATCAGCTTAGCGCAACGGCAAAGTTAGCAAGAGTTTGCAAACGTCCGAGTTCAGTTTATACCATTGCTTAGACAAGCGCGGAATACGGCAACCATGCTTGATACTACTACTGGCCACACTTTGTTTTATACCGTATCGGTTGTTTCTTGCAATCAGTTGGACAGGTGGTAGGTGGTAGGACCACTTAGTTTGGTAGAATCGACTGAATTATGTGTTGGGTTAGCCTTGGTGTTTACCAAGGACCGTCATCTGAAAGTGCATATTGCTGCCATGATGAGATATCGGTGGGTATTTGGTGAACTTCACTCAAGTACGCAAATAGGCTGTGGTTCAGATTTTCACACGATGTTTCGATTCCTCTGTACACATGATACCAGAAGCTGGTGCGAATTTTTTCAGTGAATATAATAAACTCTCTAAGATAGAGAACTTGAAGGGATAGTACTGTCTATGTGGGCATTCTTCGGCGGATTTCTGTGAGATTTTTTACATCTAAGGCCGCTCCCTATCTCCTTAGAGAGCTGCAGTTTCACCCCTCAGGGTACGACGTTACTCGTCATTAAGGCCCATAATATGAACGTTGATTAAAAAAATTACGGAAAACGCTTCCAAAGCCACGATGGTATTTCAAACTTCCTGAGGTATGAGTGTCTTATGGGACGGGTAAAATCGTTCTTTTCATTCAACGAAATTGATTCAAGAGGCCTACCACCTATTCATCGCCGTCTGGTGGCTTACCGGTTTCCACTCAACTAGGAGCGAAAACGGATTTAGGGTGCTGTTGACTGTTCAGAGCGATTAGCACAAATGATTCCAAATCAACGACCGCTGGAGTGTAAGCCGATTCTGGTTGGCCGGGCGGGTGAAATTATTTCCAGAGTCCGATCTTCATGATACCCTGCTCTTCCATCGCTCTGGACGATTTTTAGACCGCCTTGTTAATCACGATTGGTCGTTTAAGGATTAGACGTGTGCTCTTGAATGGAGCCCGAATGGCACTGAGGACGTCGTTCATGTCGTATACTCTCGCTCCATCATGAGAGCATAAAACTGAATAGGCCGATACGGTGCAATAGTGTTCCATGGGAAAGCAATCGAACCACGAACCTTCCGACCAGATGTTCGGCGCCTTGACCTCTGAGCTTTGTAAAACTGCTGTCCAAGAGTTAGGCTTCAGTTCTTCAGCTGTGCGGCTATTGCGCTGGGCATATACTGAAGTTGGTAGCTAAACAACTATTTAGTTAAACAGCGCTTTGTAAGAGTGGCCTTCGTAATGATCGTAAGACTGTACCTTTCCCCTAGCTCTGGGTATGCACAGTCGAGCAAGACTCCGTGGATGATAAATACCTCGCTGCCGAAAAACCTGTGAACAACGAAGTGGCGACACGAACAAAGACTACTAAACCAGATGTTGTGTGCTGGTGAGAATTTTCCCCACTTTGGTTTATGACGAAACAACGTCACAAGATTGTTCGAGTATGGATAGACTCACTTTAAAGACAGATAAAGATATAAAAAAGAAACTAACGGACGGAAAATCCTACTGGTGACTCACTCTTCGCGCCCTTAACGGACCTCGGACTGTGGACGTCTAACTTTTACACTTAAATCTTCTGGACAGCGCTTGGTGACAACAAAGTTTCCTCGCGCGCTGACATCACTGGTGGTTTTCACGTGCGTATCAATTAAAACACTGGAATCATTCAGACTTTTATCCTGACGGGTTTGTCACTACAACGCTGCACGAAACGACCAATAGTACACTCTATCTGGCTTATTAATGCTTCTGGTAGTCACCGAAATCTCTTATCCTTCTCCTTCTATTCGTTGGATGACAATCAATTGTACCCACGCCTTTCACTTCCCATGCAAGATAGTTCGCCGATCCGTGTGTGGCTCGACCATGACTACCTACTTATGGTTTGAATTTAACTGACTTATAGGCATGCGAAAATGGCCGTGGAGCAGTCCTGTTGTCCGTTGCTCGTGGTCGTGTTTCTGAAGGAATCGATTTTGGTAAGTTTATTCGCCACTTCTCGTTGCTCGTCAGACATGCCTTAGTCACTTGTTTCGCAATGTTGTGCTTTTGGACGTGATGTTTTAACACATGGCCTTGGCAGTCTTTCGTGTTTTGTTGCCATATTTCTGCCCTATCACACACACCTCATAGTTATGCGTACGCTTGCATCGAAAATATTTGTGTGAGTCACTTAATTAGAGCAGATAAGATGACGGATTCGATCGGGTGGGACTGATACAATGAATGTTGAGTACCATTAGGTCAACCTACTCGTTTTCCTGCGTCGACACTTGCAAGACTAAGCTCTTCTGTTCCTATGTGGCACCTGTTGCTCACTTACTCGTAGGAGAGACTTGCTGAAGAGCACTTCTAGTTGACCCAACCTCTGGTCTTGGTGGAGCTCAGGTACACCACTGTGATTGTGTATCGGCGCTTCAATTACCCATGTTTTGTTCTGCTACCTCGGTGCTATTTGGAGAACGCACCGAGTTTGGTTTGTCTCTTGCTCGCCATTGCATAGATGATGTTTGGTCTAGGGATTGAACTTTGTCACAGTTTTAGACTTCAATTCCATCGATGCGCACATTAGCCTTTGCACACACGAACAAGCTTGTTGGAAACTGAAGTAAGCGAAACTCGAGATTTAGTAGAAAAAGAACGTGTTACGTGAGATGCGAAACAATTGTTGCGGTTCGTTTTCGCACCCAAGTGGTAGCAGCTTGACAGTTTAGCTTCTATTCACATCGGATCCTCTGATATCTCGGAATACTTGTGAGCCGACCGCATTTCAGTTGTTTGGGTGCCGGCCCCGGAAATTTCGTGTATGACGCCTTTCTTCAACAATCACAGCTTACGTACATTACATACATAGCATCAAAACTTTTCAATCTCAGTGAAGTAGCTTTACTAGACCTATGAAAATAGACGCGAATTTTGTACCGCACCATATAAACTAGGGAAATCGGAGGTCATTCGAAGAATTCTAAACACGGCCAACATAAGAGTAGCTTCCCAGAGGGGAGACACTGCGCTCTGCACTGGTGCAATTGGCGGATCGCCTCCCTGCAAAAAGAACCAATGACTGTGTCTACCAAATAAAGTGACCAGTGCACTACAGTCTATGTAGGGCGGACGGTCAGGGAACTTCACATCGGAATCGGAGAACATAAGAGAAAAATAAACAGGCCGCCGAGAAATGCGGATGAATATCAAGCGTTATTGAAGGACTCGGCAATTGTGGAACACGCACTGGACACAAAACAGACTCAGAAAATGTTGCGGTTTTGAGGCGAGGACTACGGCTCACGTCGCAGAGGCTGATAGCCGAGGCGGTAGAAATCGCCAAGCATCCTAGTGTTAACAGAATAGAAAGCGTGGAACTGGCGAGCGTGTGGAGAACGGCTTTGGATCAGTCGAGTTGACACGTGTCGGTGTGCGGTCGTCAGAAGGAGGAATAGTCATCATCTGAATTCCACTTGACCTCACTCCCCCTCAAACTAAATTGTCGGAACACTCACAACCCCACAAAGACTAAGGAAAACGCTCTGAAGTGAAAGACTAACGAACCAAACCCGATCAAAATTAATTTGAAACTCTCCCAATCCACTAAAGCAACATTTTTGACAACCATACTAGCCTACAAGAGCCGTTAATTGACACAATACTGATCCAGCGTGATAATCTGAAGAGAACTCACTGATTGGTTCCCCGTCTGTCTTATAGCCTGGCCAATTTGGTGACCTGCTCACTTGGCCTGATGAAGATTTTGTGTCAAAAGCGAAACGTTGCCCAAATAAAAACTGCCGATTGTTTACCAAGCTCTTCTGAAACGATTACTTCAAGGTTTTACGGAAAGGATTTGGTCGGTCGTCGGAAACTTCTCCAGGACTGACCACATCTGTTCCCTAATTAGCACTATTAAAATTCTGGCGGTTTGGATCGTCTCATTGCAAACTATTCTTCAATATTTTCACAACCTCGAGTTAGTCGAGCTCGTGCTGCTACATGACTGAAATTCACGGGATTTTATTTGGTAATCCAAGTTTGCTTTCCATGTTTGAGAGCAGTCAATTAACTTCGGATACTATGTGTTTTGCTAATGATGAGGCGGTTGACGGTACATCTTGATTTTGCGCTCCTCTTTTTTACACAATTTGGCTTTGAGTGTTAGGCTGCTGACTGGACCTTTGGTGAGTTGATAAACGAGTCGAAACTATGATGAGTCACCCGCAACAGGCGTGTCCGTTAGGCCTTGCGTTCAACCAGGGAATCCATATAACCTTCTTTTACGGTGCTAACAGTTGAATAACTGACCGAAAAGTTTACTCAGCCTGTGAAATGAATCTATAGTCTATCGGTTGTATCCTGCGTTCATAGATGGTCTCAGCTAGCCTAAAATGTCGCAAAATCAACCGACTGATGTATAAAGAAACCAACGGGTACAACAGAAACGGAATCAAGCGAGCAAATGGGTGTGGTGGTTGTTTTAATAGAGATATTTGTAGGAAAGCTGGTTGGGTAGTCAGCTTTGATAAAGTTTTCTGCAAACAATTGTCCTCAAGGCACGAAACTAGTGCACCTTTTGTAGCAACGGTACAACGGCATTGTGTTCAGGGCCCCTCAGTTCCATCATATTAATTATGTTAACCGGGTGTGATTTGCAAATGTGGTTGTCGGGCTTTTCGACCGAACTGCCATGCAAATTTTTAATGACACAGCCCGCTTTTTTTTATCATAAATGTCGGTAACCCCTCAGTGCCAAATTGACCAGTTTTAATTGTCCAAATGGCCTCCAACGCATTAAACTCTGCTCGCTTGAAACAGTGGACGAATCTCCTATAGGTGGTCTCAATGTGTAGAATATGAAACTAACTAAGCCATTCTCACAAGGGAACTTCCCACTGGTTACTTGCAGAAATAGCAAAATTCATCATTCATCCTGAGCTTTGAAGTTGTAGCCCCTAACGCCATGCACAGTGACCCACCTTTGGATACAACAGTTACTGGGCTGACTAAATCAATTCCCCCTTGTAGGCACTTCTCTTCTAAAGAGATTCGACGTTCATGACACTTAGTAAATCCGTATTGCTCACTAATGTATCCGTAGTCTGTTTTTTATTTGGTTGTTTGTGGACTTCATCGATCACGTTTTGACTGTTTAACACACTCGTGAACACACCTGCTCTGCTGAATGAGCTGAACGAGAACATTCACGGTGATTGTTGCTCCAATGGGAAAACTCCATCCGGATTGGTCCATTTCATCGTTACTTTCTCTTCTTTCGGTTTCGTAGAAGTCATCCACAAACAAACCTTGTTTATTTGCGATTACTTGTCTGTGATGGCTTGGTCGTTCGGAAGACGCTGTTTGCAGTACCGAAACGCAAGAGCTCTCCTAGCTGTTATCGTCTCACTACACATTTAGTACATACACACCCTCAACATACAGGAAAAAATAATTTTCGTGAACCAGAGTATTTCCACCACAGGGTGCTCCAAGTAACAGAGCACAACATGCAATCTTCTACCAGAAGCATTTACCCTCACTCCCATCTGCTACTGTCCTAGCGAAACCGGAGGGGACCAGCCGAGCAAGGCAGAAACGTGCTAGTGGTTTGCGGTAGTTGAGCGATCCGCGTGGCTTTACCTGACTAGGTGAACACGTTGTCATTTTTTTGTACCCCCCCTTTGTTCTTTGCTTGTAATGGCTCATTGTTCAGAGCGCGAATTTACTGACCGGCAGGTTCGTGTTTCCAACCCGACCTCTGCCTCTCGACTTCCGCTGTCTAGGCTTAGGCAACCTGGCAGTATCCCAGCCCTCGTGCAACCTTCTGGTGGCACGGCAGCTAGGCACCGAAAGGGTGCTACAGCTGAACAATTCGCGTAGATTCCTCTCGGCCGTTGTGAGTCGCGACAGTTTCTCTGAACAGAGCACATCAAGTTGACGCGATGTGATTCTAATGGCAGTTTTTTTTTAACTTGAAATGTGAAAAGTATTTGCTGTACAATCCTGTTTGCTTTTGAGATCTTACTGGTTCTTTTCGTTTGCTACTTAGGATGACGGTTTTGGTCAGTTAGACCTCAACAAGCCTTTCCATCGTTGCACCTTCTACCCGAATGAATGGACCGTACATGGTTCCGATTGGTCGCAAAGGCTTCCCTTGTTAAGGTCAGCTGCGCGCTTTGGAGTTTTGCAGACGATTACTGTGAACGATAGATCCCATTTGGCATTTGAATGAGTATTCCATTTGCGCAGGGTTCAGTCGTCCGATATCCCAGTAATCGAGGGGTTTCTCTTTCGTGAGCAATATCACATATAGTTTCGATGTTACATGATACTGCGAATGATGCGCATCTATGGGGTTATTCAATAGAGAGTTATCGGCAAATATCATGTTTTTTAGCCATACTACTCAATTGTTAGGCATTCCTCCAGGTATGCCGCAGGGTGCGTAACTCTCGGCAAAGAGTGCAAAAAGCGGTCCCTGGTTTGTGGAGACTGTTGAGGGATGTCGCTGGGTACCATATTACGTGAGCTAGAAAGAGTGACTATTCTACCCTTTATCAACTAAGCAATCCCTACGCTCAGTCGCTCGATCAGTATGCCACTTAGGGGCGAAAGAACGAAGCTGCAGTTGTTTCGCATAATACCGGCGTCCGCGTTATATAAAAGTGAACTTACTCACTTTGTACTTTCCCGGGGGAACCAAGGTTGCAGAATACTTTCGGTTGAAACTCACTATATTTGTGACTGGCTTGCCTCAGATGAACAAAACCCCATCGGATGAGAATGTCTTCATTTTTCACCAGTTGTCGTAGAGTGGAACCGAGTATAAGTCCTTAGATGGTCATGTTTATTTGACCACATTAAAGTGGTCATGGTCGATTCAGAACATACTAATTGTACTTGTACGGTTCGTTGAACAAAATCCCGTGTGCTTTTCATTGTTCCCTCCCGCGAGCTTTTTCTTCCAAAGAGCGTTTCCAAATTGATCTTTTCCAGCTGATTTTACGGCACTGCTTTCACCTGAAATAATACGTCCACAAATGCCGAAATTCTAGGGTTCTTAGTATCTCACCAGAGTTGGAATGCAGCAGTGAGCCAATCACGGCACCGCCTATTGTCAACCGGCATGCAGACGTTGTGCACGCTACCCTCCACCGTGTTCAAAATAGTGCTATTGCTGAAATTACGGTTACCATCCTTATCTGACCAGTTGACACGAAAATTTCTGTCGTATACACGCAGTTCGGCTTGGCCTTGCTTGTCATTGTATCATCCATCATTTCCAACCGGTTACATTCCTCGTCACACTTTAGACGCTAAAGTGCGTTCATCGTAGTTCGCAGATAGAACCATACATCAAGTACTCGTATGTGGCTTGTTTATTGAGTCGTCTGCTTCGCAGTACTTCATTCGTAGCTTGTCGTCGATGTACGTCGCTGTGATCGTGCTAACTCATAAGTGAATCAAGCATTGTGATAGTGGAAACTCGATTTCGCGCATGAACGACGCCTCTTCCAGCGGACATTAAACGAGATTTCACGGAAGTATACCGACCTCCATCTCTCCAGAAGGATCATCTCAGAACGCCCCAGGTTGATTTTTTATGGGGACTGACGCTTGCTGCGCAAATGTCTTTGCTCTTGTTTAGTGAGCTCGCAAACCGCTGATCTGTTTGTATATATGATCACGAATCACGTTATTCTTACTGGGATCCAGCTTTGCCATCCTGAAAAAGCCTAAACTATCTTCAGTTTCAATTTGGTGAGCCTATCCTCGATGGTTTCCAACCTAGGTAGGGTGGTTACAGGGCTATATGGGGGATGAATCAAGTTGCTAGCATACATAAGGAGATATCAACAGATGGTAATGTGCCTTGTCAACACACTGGAACAAATCCAACTCTAACATGCTGCTGTCCAGACGAGTTTCTGAGGTATACTTGATGCTAGTCTACCGTTGTTGCCGGATTTTATGTCTCACACAGTTTATCTGTGCTGCAGATGAGTGCTGACGAATTAGGCGGAACGGTATAACCCTGGGAATCAACTGTCAGCTTGGGATCCCTTGGTCAGTGCGACAGTTGTCTTCAATAGACCTTCACTTCTACTGTTCCTGTCCCGTTAGTTGGTCGTTTATCTCAGCGTTCGCGTTTTTGACTGACAGTCTTGCACCAAATGGTTAACGGTATTCGAGATAAGTCTTTCATTTTCAAGCAAGGTTGTGACACGAACGTCTTCAGAAGGCATTAACACGGCATACATCTCTCACAGAAGCGTTGGCATCATTAGGCCCCGCCCTATACCATCTCAGGCTGACCCATTTCCATTTTTTAAGCAACAGACAATCCTGTAAACGTATTTATGAAATCCCACTTTTCTTGTTCAGATCATCACCTTGGGCGCTGTGTCATTATGTTTGGTGTCCCTTACGTGTACACACAGAGTAGAATATTCAAGGTAAGTTGTTGAGTAAAAATGCAGCGCACTAGTCGCGGTCGTTTCTGTTTGAAATCAACTCTTGCTTTGAAGGTAAATGATGCATTACTCACCCACTACCTCCAAAACCGGTCTTTGAAAGATTTCGAGACGTGAGTTCTTCCTCCTCTTTAGGTAGCCACCAAGTACCTTACCGCTCGTTTTCCGCATAAGAGTTATGGATTTCTGTTTGTGTCCGGCCTTTCTGAGGGTGGTATGGAATTCTCAGTTTCGTGTGACGCCAGTGCTGCTCCGTGGTTGACGCATGCTAGTGCAAGCATCGTAAACCTGTATAATGGCTTAAACGAAATACACTACCCATAAATCTGTTCCAAACTCCTCGACAGCCTAAAATCGGCTTCACCTTTCTTGGAGACCACCAGATAGGTGCATTCTCCAAGTTTCCTTCAACTTCATGTCCTACTTGAACCTGAAAACTAGCTAAATCTTTCGTGTACGGTGTTCTTGATCAATGGCCGTTAGTCGCACTATCTGGGTCCACAATAAGTTTTCTCACCCAAACGACCTTGAATAGGAACCACCAAAAAAGATGACTTATCAGGGTGGTGTATCCACATATCAACAAAAGACAATGGCGCTTCTGTGAAGTTCGATACCTATTGATCCTGAAACCTTGTGATCTCCTGATCAGTTGGAATAAAGTAGTAGGTTCAATACTGTTTCACGATGAACTCATTCCGTACAGTTTCGTATACCGTAAAATTTGCGAAGTGGAATCAAATTAAACAAATTGGGGGACTAGTTTTGTCATGCGACAGTAACAGAAAGTAGCGTGACCAAGCAATAGGGTCTTCACACTCTCAGAATGAGCCTTGGGTCTTTCTGAGCGCAGAGCACAGATTTGAATCATGTAAACAATATTGCTTCGAGGAACCTAAGTTTGGATTATCGACCGTTTCATGCTATGAAGAGTACTGTCCGCCTTGTTTAGTCCCGTTCAGATGGCTGGTGATCAGTGAATCGAGTTCCGCTCGCGCAAAGTTGAATTGTCAGAATTCGTTTTGCTAAGCGTTTCTTTGCCCGTCAAGAAGTCAAATTATTGACCACAAGACGTAATCGAAGACGCAGAGGTGAATGTCGCCCTCCATTCAAAATTACTGCACGAAACAATGCTGTATTTAACGTTTCCTATTCAAAGTGATTGGGGGGGGGGTACGCTTTAAATCTTTATTGAGACTAACTTGAGACCTAGAGCGTGTTGTGCATGCTCACTGCAAGGTTACTGTATAAGTCATACATAAAATCTCACGGAAAACACATTTTAAATGGTCACTTTTCAACGAATTGGTTACAAGAGGGAACCACTCGATAGCCTAGACAATAATTTTGATTTACTTCCTTCGTAAGTTTCTGCATTAGGACCATAACAAGCACTAAGTCAGAAATCGAGATGTATAAAACTTGAACAGTATTCTCATTGTCGATACGTACATGCCCAGCATCCAACATATAATCAGTGCTGAGTGTGGGGTGCCTCTGTGCTTTAATTAGGAGTAATCTTCGCATGAGTTACCTTCGTTTTGACAATCCTGGACCGTAAAATCAGACAAGAGCCGTCGGTTATCGATAGAGGTTGTGAATGAGTCGATGGAAAATGTTATCTGGATCCAACTTGTAGCTTGAAGCGAACGACTGTCTGGTGACAGTTGTTGGATGCTTGGTGTCGCGTCAGTGCAAGACATACTGAGCAGTGTTCTCGATTTTGACTCATGGCTCTTACAAACCCTAACGCTACGCTTAAATATACACTTGTTTCTCTCAGGCCCGATTGGATTTCCTCCGAGAACAGTACAACATTCAGCCCAATGAATTCATCACTTTCGATGCAATGCGGCATGCAGCACAATGCTTGGGTCGTGCCATTCGCGGCAAATCTGACTACGGAATCATGATATTGGCTGATAAGGTAGGTGAACTCGCTTGTGACAAAACAGTGAACCTAGTCGAACCCATTGAACATCAGTGTTCCCTTATTTTGAGTAATCAATATTCTGGTTCAAAGTGGCCTGGCCATACGGCCGTCACCCACACACCACAAATACACACTATTCAGGAAACTGACAGCGCCGTACATAGCTTTACTATCACTCCCCTACATGTGTAAGAGTATCATAGTATTCCGAGCCCCAGAGGAGAACGAGGAAATATGTTTGCATTCGATAGCAATATGAAGCAATGATGAAGCCGTGATGACCAGCAGTTTCGTGTAAACTGACAATCGGTACAGCAGCTTCCTCATGTATGCTTACTATTCATTGATTCATGTAAGCAGCGATCGTGCAGTCGTCCCGGTTCGGTGCGGCCTTGAGCGTTCGAAGTAGCGTCCGGTATCTGGTATCTCCCTTTTTTTCAAATAATGGGTTGTCTTAATTTTGAAACGAGCATAAAATCTCCCGATCCAGTCTACTAATTTTGTGGTAAAGCGTGTGAGACATTCTTTTTCGTTAAGTCACGTCATGGGTGCTGATTTGCCCTAGGATGCATTGTGTGCTGTTCGTAAGGATCCTAAGTAAACGGTTGATTTGAGTTGGGATAAATTAAGGTCTTGTTCCCTAACCATCTGTGATTAGTGTAATCTATAATCGAGGATATACTGGTCTCAGTGGGATTCGATGAAAGATCATTTCCCTATGCATACTATCTCACCGATTGCTTTTTTGTTTCCTCTCAAGTTTAATTTTTCTAGATAGCTCAGTGGTTAAGACACGAGCTCACTGACCGGATGATCCGTGGTTCGAAGCCCACCTCCGGATCTGCTACTGTATAGACTTAGACAACCTGGCAGCCCTCGTGCTTTCTTCGAGTGGCACAGCAGCTGTACATAACTGAACGACTAGTTTCTGATTCTGTTTTGATTTCATTCCACTGTAGCGATATGCCCGAGCTGACAAGCGTTCAAAATTGCCCGGATGGATCCAGTCTCAGTTGCAAGATGCGTTTGTGAATCTATCCACTGAAGAAGCCGTTCAGGCTTCTCGACGTTTTCTACGTTTGATGGGCCAGCCTTTTAACAAGGAGGACCAGTTGGGTTTAGCTCTATTAACACGTGAACATGTTGCAAAGCTAGTGGCCCAAAACCAAGCAGCGTCAATTCGGCCTGGAAACCCTCTAAATCCTGGTGAACCACCCGCTAGTCTGACAACCGCAAGTGGGCATCCTTTGAACAGTCAACAAAACCCATACGGTCCACAGACATCGGCTGTCCCTCGGGTCATATCTACTACAACCACCTTCATCTGACTTCATGTTTCAATTATTTGTACATACGATTCGTTTTTTAACGCCAACACATTTATCATATTCTTCGTCTTTCTAACTCCTTGTAGCAAAGCGGGTCACCGAAACAACTTTCATAGTTCGAACCGTTGATCGGCATCATTTGGGCATCCTAGCTATCTCGTTAGCACACACGTCCCTATGACATTCTGTAGCTCTGAATAATCCTTTACGAACACGAAACTGATCACCTCTACTCTCAATTGGTACTTGGGTTCTTTGTGCGATCCTGCGTTTGACGGGAACTTACAAGAGCCGTGGAAAATTCTGCAACAGAAATTAGTTAGAGCTGTGAGGTGGTGAAGTCCATACAACCTCAATACACCTTTCCATTACTGACTCCATAGGTCACGTGACTGTACGGCGTAGCATAATGAGACTCTTGGCGGTTTCCATTCACAACCGTAGTAGACATCTGGAGTCAAGTAAACTGTCGAACTATCCGGTATTCACACCGTTGCTAATCCAAGGTCTTTTGGGTCGCCCCTCAAAGATATAACGTGCCAGGCTGAAATCGGTCACACCGGTCAATCATGAAGTGTGATTTCACAACTCTAACCAGTTTGATGAAACCGTAAAGTAACACTGGGTCAACCCTCTCGGAATGTTAGGAACAGGATTGGAGACAAACGTAATTACATCATATTACTCGACAAAACGAACCAGTTCAAAAGAAAATACGGATTTGTGCAGAAAAGAAAAAGGTTGGTCTGGAAAAAGAAGACGGTTGTTCTGCACAATAACGACGCAATTAAACAAAGTGGGCAGAGTGAGACATGAAAAGAACACAATGACATGGTTCGTAATACAAGGTCTGATCAGTAAAGGGCTCTTCTACGGTCATAGGGGTCAACTCTTCTTATCATATTTTGCACACAATGCAAGCGGAATAGGTTTTAGCCACACAGGACTGGCTGGCAGCGGTAGTATTTAGATGGACAAGACAAGGACTACCACTTCTTCTTGTAGTCATCCACACTTACTCCACCTGGACCGTAGGCCACTACCAAACCCAGGCCACCGATGACCGACCATGTTTGGAAGAAATCGTATTTGAGGAAGTCCCACAATAGGCTGTCATTGTGTACAGCCCAGAATTGGTTGTAGTAGAAGTTCATTGCGGTCAGCCACAAAACCAACACGGTAGCACACAGTTTCGTCTTGTATCCGATGGCGACCAAAAGGATGAGGACCAAATTAGCGGCCGACTGCAAGTAGAAAACCAAACGTGAGGAACACATGGTGGGACAATCTAAACAAAAATAGGGTGAGACAAATTAATACATCCGTTATTCCGCATCTCTTCAAGTGTTCAGATATCGCTTTGTTAAAGGATTCCTGGTTTGAGTCCTGCGTCTACGCTAGCGGCCGCAACACCACACTATTTACTTTGGAAATGAATTACGTGCCAACAAAACAAACGTGGCAGCTTTGATGATCACAAAGATTAGGGCCAAGATGCACCGATTTGTTTTTCTGTAGATCACCTTGTTATTCGAGGATGTGGAGTAGTCTGATTGCGTGAATTGCCTGTTCATTGTGAAAGGTGGTGGGCACTGCAGGACTTCGACCGCCTTTATCACAAGAAACAAATTATTAAAAATTGTGAGTTTTGTTAGTTCGTTACAAAGTTAACACCACCGTTATAACTGTCCGTTCAGAAAATCCTATATAACGATATGATGCGGGCATATTAATATGGACATATTAATTTGGACGACCTCTATCCAGGACGCGAGCCACTATCCGGTTGCTGGTGGGTTGCCATCAAAAGTTTACTAATTGGGCTTTCGAATTCACATACTAACAAACTGTCAGTGGCAGTATGCAAGTAGTTCTGAGGATACAATCTATTTGGAGTCTTTAACTTGTGTGATTTTCGTATCCTTTGCTTCCTCGTGATAGGCAACAGCGAATTTACGACCAGATCCCCTGCCACTCGTATTGGGTCATTTGTCATCCTCTTTCCTACGAAAGACAACATCACAAGCGAACGTTTCGTAGTTTTTCTTCTCATATATCCGACTGTTGACTGAGGTTAGGCAAATGGACCAAACTGGTCTGGAGAGCAAACATGACACAAACGCACACGTACGTTCACCAGCATCGGATTGACCGATCCAAATGAAGTTTACTTACCATATCTCTGACCGACGAGAACTCACGGCGATCGATCCAAATGAAGTTTACTTACCATATCTTCATTTGTGAAGCCTTTGAAAAAGGTGGTAACCAAAATGTCGGGACTAAAAACATCATATTCTATATGGTCGGGCTTCGGATCTAAACATTTTTGACGCTTCTACCCGACTGCCCCTCACTCATGCAGGCACTTACCACTACAGGAAATATGTGAAACAGGGTTCTAACAAAAGTAAAACTGCGTATCATTCTCATACGAAGTAGGACATAGGAGTGACGTTTTACTCCAAAAGACGAAACTTTGCAAACGGTAAATAGGCAATTGTAAAAGTTAATTGGTTTGATACTCGGAAATACTAGTTCGTATGATCCATGCAAAAGTTACGGAGATACTTTGTCGACTTAAAATGCGCATGAACTACACACTAAAACCTGATGGGAGAATAGGTTATTAGTTAATAGTACCCGTGATATTTTTTTAATTCTTCCAACATTACCGGCAGCCGCACCGACTACCATGCTGTCAGGAGGAAAAAGGGCACTAGATGATTGGGGAAATGAGAAGGGGTGGAGACTCAGTGGAATAAGGAAGACGATTAAGAACACAGTGTCTCCATCGGGAGAAAGAGATACACGTCTGAGCAACATACTAGAGTAAGAGGCCACCAATGTGCTTAAAACCAGCGTACTTCCGAGACCTTAGATAACAGTAGCCCAGCACACACTGACAGAGAAACTTTACGTTGTCAGTTCGGATGGACAGTGATAGCCTGAATACCACTGGGAAAGACTACGTGTCGTGTTCTGTTTTTTTTTTAAACCAGGGAGGTGTGAAAAGCCCATGGTACCCAGTTTGGTTGTAGCCGCTATCGCTTGACGCATCCATGTCATGGTCTGTCCTTCTCGAATGTTTCACCAGCATAGGTTCGGAATGAAAAGCAGCATCCCTCTTGGTAAAAAGTGGTAGTGTATTTTCCGAACACCTCATTCTAATAAGTTTTATTCGCTGTTCCAGTAATTCCGCTTCTTTACTCAGTGGTGACCGGAAAATTGGAGATGTCTAAGGTACTCAAATGTGGGAACAGTAACCTGGCGACTTTCTTCAATTTCACTAAAATTTGTTTTTGGTGCCACAAGTGACACAAATTGAGGAGTGTTGCTCGGCCTTTGCTGATGCGTGTTTCATCTGTCACAGCACAACCACAGCCCTATGTAGCTGCCAAAAACGATCTCAAAGGAGCAACAGGGGAATGGAAATCCTGGAGCGAGACTTAAACTTAGTTTTCAATGCATACCGAAACAGGGGACCACTTCGGACATTAGTTAGAACAGCCTGTGCAGACTGGTGATCACCAAGTGACGAAATAATGTTGTCCGGATGAACTGCGTCCATTAAGCTTCCTCCAGATGCAATCATGATCCTCTGGACTGTGCAGCACATGACTGCATCAAAAACAAAATCAAGCAAGAGGAATGATACAGGACAGTCTTTACGAACCTCATGATTTGCGGGAGACTTGGGCTAAATTCCAACAGAACTAAAGGTTTTAACATAAACAGTACAAAGTATCTCGACAAATTCTGACGGCATTTCCCTCATCTACCTACTCTCAGAAGTGTTGCTTTATTAGCCCGGGCGAAGGACTCATTGAAGTTGAGGAAAACTGTTTTCGGGGGTATGCATGACGCTATTCAAACACCGGACGTAATATAAAGTTGTGATCGATGCCCTACCTACATAACCGAAACTCCCCTATATGGTCTCGAATTTGAGTCTCCAATGCCGGAGTTTGCCTTCGCATTACTAAGGAAGCTAGCGGCCATATTGCAACTGATTTGAGGCCGACTGTTTTCCCAGTCCTCTGGAAAGTTCAAACAACTTCGTCAGATACGCAGCACCGTCTTGAAGAAATGCTAATGGAAGCTCACCTTGTTCAGTGGTGCGGTGACCCTTCAATGCAAAGGCAAAACAATACCTAATAAAATGAGCTATCTAGACCACAGTCCATTTTGAGCGGGTCGAATGAAGGTCCCAGGCACAATGACAGCGGGTCGACTGAACAGTCGTGCTGAAGAATATGCCGATGATACGATTACAAGGTCACATTATACTATATTTAACTCTTGTTGGATTATCACTCCGGTCAGCGGTCTAAATGCTGGTTTTACTACATATTAGATTTCCAATATTACTTCAAACCTACTCACTAACACGTGGTCCTGTGTATGCTGTGTTACGAATGAACCAAAGCGGCTTCCGTACATTCCTGACTGCACCAGCCTCCTCTGGTCCTTGAATTTTGGTTTCGGCAAGCCGTTTTGTCCAGACGGAAGTTTCATTTGCGCTAAGGTCTAGTTGAAGTCAACGCAAGAATTTCAAAGTCCAGAACTATGTTTGCCAATATGTACCACTTGTGTCTCAAGAAAGACATAGCACTGGGTCTCAAAGGACTCACGCATCACACTACAGTGTCGCACTACAACACTGTTGTACCACTGCGGGACTTGGCAATTTCTGGTGGAGGATTAGAGATCTTCAGATCTTTAATTACTGATTTCTTATAACCATAGTTGGAATGGTCCTGAAACAGCAACTTCGCAATCAGATGACTAGAAAATGGGTCTTTGTTGAAGCACAAGGTATTTTATTCAAGGAATGTACCCAGTACTGCAAATTCAGGTGGCACGACCATGGGCTACACATGCCGAGTTACCACCTGCCGCGAAGAGCACTAACTCTAACGGTTATGCAACAGACGAAGTCATCGCACAAATCCTAATGACCGTGATCTCACTTGCGCAATCAGAAAGACATAGCACTAGGTAGCAAAACACACGTGTATCCGAATGCAGTGCAGACCGCGTTGCTGTAAGTTAGCGAGATACGACCGTTTCGGATAGACTTTCCGAGGCATCTTCGTGTTCTTGGCCACCAGTGTCCTAACTACACCTGAATCGGCTGTGGTAGTAGAAATCTACAAGTGGACAGAACATGGCATTTGCAGACGGGAGTGGATGTTTGGGTGCTGTTGGTGTTATTCGCCTTCTAGGATGGGGTCCATGAGACCCTACCTTTCTGTGCTTGGCTGGAGACACTGAACGATATGGGCGTCTAACCGACACCAGTGGCGATCATGCTGCCAGTGTCTATCCTGATTGTCCGACTGAGTGTCGGAGATGTAGGTATCTCGCATATTTGTGGAGGACTTTGACAGAAAATAACCTTCGCCGAATCAGAGCTACAATTGATTTTTAAATAAGTAAACAGACAGAAGCGAAAGCGAAGCAAAAGATTTAGCCAATGGCTGCAATTAGTCAATTTCCCGGGAGTCTGAATGATTTTCCTACCAATAAGTGTAACATGAAAGAAATTTAGAGACAATGAACGAAGGTGAAAGGTGCCAACTTTCGCTTATCCGGTGTGTCAGGTCCATCGCATAAGAAGACCACCAGACAACCAGCTGGCGGCCGATGTGGCATTCAGGCATATTTGTTTGTATATTTCATGGTTGTCGTCATCATCATCAGACAGAAAAATCAGTGTTGCCACTAATGCTTCACTGGCGTACAAACATAAGGTCCATAAGAGAAAAACAGTGGGTTAGGGAGGGGATCTAGTGCTAGCCTGCGTCAAGCATACTGAGGTGTCTACACCTCCAACTGCTCAATCAGACAATCTGGAAAGAAACTGACAGCACGAACGCCATCGACATCGATTAGCCGCCACATCTTGCAACATCTCCAGCTGAATACAGGCGGTGTAACGAGGACCCCATCCTGGAAGGCGTACAATACCAATACCACCCAAACTCTTCGTGGTCACTTTAACGCCTTTTTGCCAAGTCATGTGCTGTCCACCTCGCGGTTTGCGCCATCCTGAAGGAGACACGGAGAACAACACTCGTCTCGACAGGCTGTGTTTCGGCATGCGGAGCACATGACCGAACCATCGTGGTCGGTGATGCTGGATGTTTTCCCGGAATGAAGTACCAGCACAACCAAATACCCGTTTTCTTATCACCTCGTTACCAACACGCTGACGCCATCCAAAACCAACCACGCCTCTGAGGCATCGGTGGTCGAAAATATGAAGATGCCTCACATCATCTGTCCGCATGGGCCATGTCTTGCACCCATACAAAAACGCAGCCCTTACTGTAGCCTGGCACACACGACAAATAAGATCTAGTGAGATGCCTTTTTGACGCCACAAGTGACGCTAATTAGCAGACGTGATTCGAGCCTTTGGAATTCTTGCACTGACTTCATCAATCACACTTCCGTCAGAGCTAATACAACTACCGAGGTGTGTAAAGTTCTCCACAATCTCCAGTGATTCTCCTTGAACTGTAAGGGACATGTTCGCAGATGACGCGTTCTGAAGCATGACTTTGCACTTTAGTGAAAGGCGCATGCCAAAAATGGTATGATGGTGGTCATTTTATTCAACAGGGCTTGTGCTTCGCTTCGACCTTCAAAGATGAGGGCGACCTCATCTGCGTACTCCAAATCGACAAGGCTCTCACCGGCAACAAATTGAACACCGGGGTTTTGAAGACCGTCCAGTGTTCGCCTCATTACTTAATCAAGAATGGAGAGGTTGGACGTCCTTATCTGACACCAAGTTTTGTACGGAAGCTTCTGGACAGCTCGTCATACACTCTCACTCGCCCAGAATTATGTGAATATAGGGATCGGATTATGTTTACAAACTTCTGGGGCATACCCTATTGGGCAAGTGTAGTTAACAGCACTGATCGATCGACAGAATCAAACGCACCCTTGAAGTCAAGAAACGCCAGGATTGTGGGTCGTCTGTACATGTGGCGTTACTCTAACACCCGACAGCGTATGAAGACTTGGTCAACGTAGCCTCTACCCGGTCGAAATCCCGCTTGATTCTCACGAGTCAAGGCTTCGCGTGCCACCGTAAGACGCTGAAGAATCAGTGACGCCAGAAGCCATGTCAAAATAGGCGTCAAACTAACACCTCTGTGGTTACTACGTCCACTGCGAGTACGCCTTTTGAGAATGGGCACTACTATCGATTCGTCCCAGTTGTCTGGGACGGTCTCATTCTCCCACATAGACCCAAATAGGCACTGGCTGAGGAGTCCACCGCCATCCTTGAAAAGAGCAGGTGGAAAGTCATCAGGACCAGCAGCACGATGACGCTTGAGTAAAGAAATACATTTGGACACTTCTGAAACTGAAGGCGGTTTCATATTTACGCCCACCTTTCTGCTGAAGGCCAGGATCCTGGATTGGAGGTAGCAGGTGGCCCATTGAATTGCCGTTCGAAGTACTGTGCCCAGCGGTCCAAACGTTCTGCTTTGCTGCATATCAGGGAGCCATTTCGGTCTCCGATTAGTTTGCTGACAAGAGGCTTCTGAGGGCCATTCAAAAGAGTTAAGTGGAACAACTTGCGCACGTTTCCAACATTCTTTGCACCTTCCATTTTTTGGGCTTTTCGTATCCACCAAGTTCCACGGTCTGCCCGGACACTCAATTTCACCCGGCGTCGGATGACGCACCGGATGGAATCTGTCGTCGGGTCTCCAGAAAGGACACGGTCCTATCAGAGATCCAATGGTTGGATGTGGTTGGCTGGGTTGTATCGCAAACAGATATTCTGGCTTTGAGTAGCGCTTTGGATATTTTTTCCCAGTGGTCGTTTATATCCGACACCGTAGTGTCCAGCAAGCATTCGAGGAGCTGGTTCTGATAGTTTTGTTTGACCTCTGGGTCCACTAGCGTCTCAAAGCTTAAGTGGTGTGCGCGATTGGCGTACACGTGAAAAGCGCAATGAAAGGCAGCAGCGTACAAGTACACGATCGGAGTCCACGCTGGTGTTCCAGAAGGAGCGGTAGGCGGTGATTGACCCTCGCCACCAATAACTGGCGACGATGTGGTCTATTTAGATTCGGTGCTGGTTTGTGGATGGGTACCACATTGTCAAGCGATTTCCGCTGTTCCGGAAATTCGTACTGCAAAGCAACACTCTGTGATCGGCACACATCTGAAGTCTCTGTGCGCCTAGTGTCCAAAACAAGACGACCACCCAATCGAGCCTCAGTAGCGCCTAGTCTACCCACCTGGTCGTTCATATCACCAGCAACCACAACATCTGAGCTTTTAGCCTGCTGTAGAAGGGAACATAGAACGTCATAGAAACTGTCCTTGGCAGATTCAGAGCTACAGCCAGTTGGGACGTAAGCAAACACAATAAACAAGGTGCGGTGAGCCTCACTTTCTCTAGATTCCCTCACTGATGTCGCCAAACGAACCGCACAAAGGCAACTATTAACGGGTATTCAATCAAGCAGAGACGCTTCCGCTTGTTCGCTCAATACAATACCCACCCCAGCATATCCAGTTGCACCGGCCTCTGCATCACCAGAGGTGCGCATTCGGAACCCGGAAGAGACAGACGGGGCAGTCAGTTCGATCACAGTACTTGCGCTCTGCATTTTTGTTTCTGACAGACAATATACATCAATGCAGAAGGAACCCAGCGCGCAAGTAAGAGCTACCTGTTGACCTGCTTGCTTCAGTGTGCGAACATTAGAGGTTGCTAAGGACACAGGCTTTTGGGGTTTGAAAACAGACTTCGAAGTGTTTAGGGCTGTGACTGAACTCGGATGTACAGATGCTGAAGCTGAGTGTGATGCAAAACGAACAAAACAGCCAGTCCTAGAGCTGAGACCTGCGGAGAAAGCATTCAGATTTTGGTGGGAGAGTGTGGAATACGGAAAACGTGGAAGTGTAAGAAGGGAGGCGTCACCAGTAGGCACATTTTCGCTAAGCCGCCCTGCTGTGTGCAACAAGTACGGCGACCTGGGCGATGGCACCACGCGACGACCGATGTGACAGGAGAGTATTGTTAGTTGTGAATGTCATGGTTGTACGAGGGCTGGGATACCGCTAGGACGCCCACATCTAGACAGAAGGATGATTAGGGTCCTTAACTAAAGCCTTTGGCTCAAAAGCCTAACCGCAAGGCAGCGCTGTTCGGCTGGAAATGCAAGTTCATTACCGTTTTTAAGAAACACGTCGCCGCACATATTCCAACCCCCAGCCTGGAGGGCCAGGAGACTGTGTTCGTCAACCTGGTATGAGAGGCTCTGAGTGTCGCGCGGACACCCACCCACCCTTTAGTATAGCTCAATCGGTCGCCGAGGTACACAAAACGCCACACTACGACAAGGTCCACTCTCTTCCCCATGGTTGTATGTGGGTCGAGACACCGTCAAGGTTCCTAAACCAAGACAGGGAAACGATCAGGGTCCTCACTGAAAGCCTTTGGCTCAAAACCCCAACTGCAAGATAGCGGTTGTTGGCGGACGACCACAAGAGTATCCTAGCTTTAAGTAACAAGGCACCAGGCACGTTTCAACCCCAAACTCGAAGGGCCAGAAGACTATTTGTCAGACTTATGTCCACTGACCAATCCTACATGAAAATCTCTGCGAATGTTGCATTGACAACCTGTTCGAAAACTTAGAGAGCTGCCGTCGTGCACCTATAAAGATTTGCTTTTATAGGATTGGCCGATACAGCGGCAGTAACGAGCTTTGCTGCAAAGGGTCCGGAAGAAGGTTGAGAGCAACTTCTCTAATCGCAAGTATTCCGGTAGTATTTCACCCAATCTCGAATATCCAGTTCTACCTAACAATTTCAAAGCAGGAGACGCAGCCAAATGTGTTTGAGAATGTATGGAAAAAAACACTCGGGTGCCAGTCCGCACAAAAAACAAGTGTGACGAAAACAAATGTGAGTATAATAACAGTGTCGTGAAAGTTGAGTCGCGCGATGCATAATGAACCCCAAACCGAAATGTAATGCGAATCGATCAATAATAGGTCCATCGTGAGTCTCACGAGAATACTAGAGATTAGAACACAGACCAAATGTAGATAGAGTGCGTGCGACGCGTTCGCAATCACATAGGATCTAGTGACAGATTTGGACCTATCCGATTTAACGGCATGTTTGCAGTAGTCACGAAAGTCTGGTCACTATTCGAATGATACACACAATTAATTCTCAAAGTAACCATTGGAACCTCGTGCGTTCTGACAACACTGTCGTATTCGAATACAACACGTGCAACCCAATGTTCAGTAATTTAGCAAAAAAGGTAACAAAACCAACAGAACGGGTGTACGAACCTAGGTGCATCACCGAACGCATTTCGCGTAAGATCCGGAATACAAGTGGAAGCCTGGAACCTTGCATTTCACCGACAGAAAGATGGAATTCGCTGCAAACTTAGGCTTTCACAAGAGGTATTCAGAGGGGAATAACCACCATAATTGGAATTGGGGCTGACGAAACACTGCAGTGCTTTGTCGGAACTCGTGTCCAATTAATTGGAATTGGGGCTGACGAAACACTGCTCTGTCGGAACTCGTGTCCAACGCAAACCAATTCCAAAAAACAGGATAGGAGTGAATCAGATATCGTAACTCGTAACCCATCCAACAAAGAAACCTACTACTTAAATGCGGACATCTTAGCACGATCCTCCATCACTTGTGAAAATATGACTTTGGGATTACCACAGGAATCACATCATGTGTTGATTACTTGTACATAAGGCCAGTGAAGGTAACCTAACAATGTCACCGTTTAATTAAAAGTAGCCAGTAAAAACGTATTATCAAGGCACAGACATCTCAGAGGAAGAAACATGGTCCCTTGGTAATAATAATAATAGAAATAATAATAATCGTTCAGCTGTAGCACCCTTCCAGTGCCTAGCTTGTGAGAATCATCCAATTACTGTAGGAATTTGTCAGAACCGCACCGCTATATGGAAGCAGTGCAATCTGTAAACCCAGTGAAATTGGGGGAACAGTAAGACAATAGCTCTCAACCGGAGTTCCCCCACCATCAACACCAGATGGGAATTTCAAGGATTCATGGGATAGTAGATACTCCAGATTTGAGGATACCGATTACTCAAAAACTATGTTTTTAGTCCGATTCCGTTGATGTTTGAATCACTTGACACTCACCCTCACTACTAATTGATTTTCTTCTGTTGTTCAGTGACTACCCAGTCCTAACTGCCATGGACGACAGCTGCATGGCCAAAACGGCTGTGTTTTCACCGCAAAAACGTTTTATTCTATTTGTGACTTATCAGTGAGGTTCCACTCACGCAACAAGGCAACATGTTACATTTTGTGTGCACGTAACAACACTTATGCCGGGTACCGGGTTGGTGAATATTGAGGTCCAAGTATATGATATCAGGTCGGCATCTGTATTTGCTGGTAACAACATAAAAATTCGCAAAAGTCCCCTCTTCAGGCTCAGCGAATAAGTAAATAGTGAGAAAAGTTTAGACCAGAAAAAACGAGCAAAAATTCCACACACTCAAACGTAAAATGGAGTCCGCGTGTACAGCCAAGAGGTTGCTGCTCCGGTTTGTTGTCAGGTGCCCGTACCTCATCACTGCACTGTCGGTTGTTATCTATGGACCTACTAAACTCAGGGGTTGATACCGTTATGTTAACTTCGGTGTAAATAAGTCCGCTTTATTTATTCAGTCCATGTATCACTTCAATGTTCTTTTCAAAGCAATAGCTTTGCTACTAACAATATTGATGCTGTTTCATTTCATCCTTGTCCTAGGGTGTGCATCTTATTAGTACTATTATTATTTATTAGCCAAAATGAATCTTAGCGTATTGCAAGAAGTAAGGGAAATTCTGTCTGATACTTTTATCGTTTCGGAAGTCGCAGATGTTAAATTCACCGCCTATGGAAGAGTAAGCTACTTTGTACACCACTATCATCTGCTGTGAACTGCATACAAGTAGTTTGTGCTCCTAGCTGCCATATCTGCCTTACTGTAGTCTGATAGGTTCAATCCTGTGCCAGCTGGCTTCTCAGATAGGTTTTTCGAAGGATCAAAGCTGATATAGCCACGTGTATGTGAGTTTCATCCGTACAGATATGCCTGTGAGTATTACAAAGTCCGAGTGAAAAAAACTAACCGAACTAAGGCTTGTCACCTAGTACACACCCTAAACTAGCCAATAAAAAGTAACGACAAGTAGCCCGAAACTGACGTCATTTTCGAAATGAGTAAAACATTGTGATTCCTGAAGTTCGCTTGATTTCTGGCTAACGTTAACAGAAGGATAAGTAAACCTAGTGATCCAGGATTGACTGTCGTATTATTTAGGTCATATACTGACAATGGTGTACAATGCGAAAATAAGTTAACAACCACTGCAGTAGATGGTTCAAACTTGTCTAAGGACGACTACAGAATGTGCTGGGGCACTGTCTGCGATTTTGAACAGAGTACCGGAGTAATCAGGAAGTTAGAATCACTGTGAGAGGACGGCATCGTGCGCAGAACTCCCCATGTCTTTAGTATAAATATCTGTTTTTTCCCTTACTGGTTCAAAACTCCATAGGCACTAGTCGAATTACAAACTTTCGCTACCCTAAGGGAGCTCCAGGACTTCTGTAATGAGGCCCTACACGTTCGAAATCCACTCGCTTGATATCAGTCATATCAACAGTGTAGATATACCAAGACCTCCTGCACCTTAGTACTTAATGTGTTACATTGTCAGTTTATCGTAACACACGCCCCATGTGCTATTGCACAAGACGGTCACATAGTTCATCAATTTATTTGAAGAGAATGGCATTCTTCCTCTTAGAGAGACGAAATTGAGCGGTTGCCAACTTATTACAGTCAAATATTTCCCGTCACAATGACAAATGAATGAAACACGTAGGACTCTTACCTGAATGAGGTAAAATAGACTTCCGCCAAGATGGATTAGGGTAACGAACATGAGGATGATAAGAATGCGACCACCAAGGAGCAAGTATTGTCGGGGAGCGTTTTCACCGGAAGAAGGGAGCCCAGCCAGGATACGTTTTGCCTCCTGTTGAGCCTCCGCAAGAATCAGTAGCAAACTTCCTATCAGTGAAAGATTGCGCATCAAGAAAACCTGAGTCCAAACATTGTAGCCGATTGTCTGAAACGAATGGAAATGAAACGAGTCAGTTATTGACTGAATCATATCGCTAATCTTCATACTACCATTATGGTTTGTGGACAGAGTTACACAGGTGATTACAAATAACCTAAATATGTAGCGAACTTTGCACGCAGTCACAGCTGCGAGACACAGCTCAACGAGCTACGCAATGGAGCAAAAGACATACTCACCAACCCATATTTCCCAAACCGGGGGAATATCCCTCCCTGGTGAATAACAACAGTGTTTCAGGGGAGGAATTAAAGGGCGGGAAATAGTAGTTTCTCTTAAAAACCATTGCATGTTAGTAGGAATTCCTTAGATAACGTATTTTAGAATTTCCGAATTTACACGAATGAAATTAAGAACACAATTCGCCAGAAATGCAAATGATCTGCTAAAACACTTGTATGCACATGAGGATGGAGTGCATATGCGGATGAAGATGAGCGATATATAAAGACTTTTGTTGATCTCGTCCCACGAGACAAATATACAGGTCACATGGGCCCACCAGTCCGGTGACCGTTAGGTGGAAAACGGTACCTCGGAGAATATAATGTTTAATTTGGGCTAAGGTCAGTTAAAGTAAATGAGGCCGGACAATCTGCAACCGGTTCTTAGCCTACATTCATTCAACTACTCCATGAGATAAGCAAAGCTGAAACATTTTTAGCGTGCATGGTAAAAGTTTAACACGGTTACGGCAGGTCTCAAGTTGCCAAGACCGGCTTCATGGTAGATGATTATGGTCGAACCCTCCTAATTCGTGGCGTTTAGAACATGCCAGCAGAAAATATCACACATAACTGTAGAAGTGATCTATGTGCACCAAAGACGCTGAAAACGGTCCTGGAAAAAAATAGAAAAAACTGCAGGCGACATTAACATAACAGTGATGCTGTCTAAAGAACGATTGCAAGATTAGTGGTGACCGTCTGAAATAATGAGTAAGGCAACGGAAGACTAAACTGGAAAACATTTCTACATCATGTCTGTGGACAAAGTGAAGATAAGCACGGTTGTGTCTGAGGTACAAGTCTGATTATAAATAACATAGGGAAAAACAAGTTTCAAGAGCGAAATGTGTTCACTGTATGTTTCATTGTTAGTCAAGTCGCACGAAACATGTTCACCTGAATTTGGGACCGTTGTTTGATCAAAATATTCATCCTGAAAATTTTATCAGAAGTGAACTCTATTAAAGGCTGCTTAAGTAACTGAGCAATAGCGTAGCTGCAAAGCAGAAGTTATTTACGCTTTATACAAATTCTCAATGTCAGTCAGAAGAAATCACGGTACGAAGTTGCTGTGAAAATGTTATGATGTAATAAAGGGTATTCCTGTTAGAACTTGTGAAAAAAACAAGTGAATTAGGTCAGATTAGATGGACAATTGTAGTACTGAGAGTGAGCTCCATGTATGGTCATAGGTCACAGTAGAGAAGTCATCACACAGTACGTAATCAGAATACTGTAGTATAAATGTAGCCCCACCAATTCTGGAAACCCAAATAAATCATAAGCATTATTTTGATGCATGATAAGTCTTCTTCCCCAAGAGAATACCTAGAACTACTACACTAACCTGAATAAGCACAGTGGACATCAGTACGGCGACGCCGGCATTAACTTGGTAACGACTGAGAACAAATCCGCTGCCAACGAACTGTAGAATGATATTTGCCAATATGAAAAGAGCAGCGAAAAAGGAGGGAACGTGCCAGACAGCTTTGATGTAGTCCACTTGTTCCGACCACTGAGTAATCAGACGAAATCCATCCTCAATAAATGTGGAAACAAGACAGAGTCTGGCGACATGTGGCAAGTAGCGACGGCTCCGACGAACAAGCTGAGTAGAAACAGAAGGGAAGTCCACGCTTCAGATTTCAAACAGCATGGTGAAGAACGACTCCGACAAGGAATAGACCGTGAGCGAAAACCTTTACAATAAATCGGATAGTGCAAAACAACCACAGCGGTCATCTCGTGCGATATAGGACAATTCGGAAGGGCCTTAATGGGTCTCAAAAAATAACCCTGAAACCCTTAATATAAATTATGTAGGTTGCAAAGAGTAACTAACCATCTTCATTGGCTAATGATAGCACTTCAGTGAACATCAACAGTGGTTTACGCAAACCATCCTTAAACAAAACTAAACCCTCTGGCATATCCACGCTGCGGTGCACATGTATCAGCTTGCTCGTCTTGAAGCTCTTTGGACAAGCATAAGTCCTTTCCTTTAGATTCTCGGTAGGTTAGTCACAAAATGCGAGCTGCAAATAACAGATCGTAAAGGCAACTATTCCTACGTTAAGGATAGAAACAGTAGGTGCTCAAGAGGTCGCTGTGTGAGAAAACCTATACATAGCGAAGTTTATCAGCAGATCCCAAGCGTGGATCAAGACAAGACAGCAGCTGGGCACAACGATAGCCAAAATCAACGTATTCATCTACACTACAACTTCTTTGGAAATTCACACCCTCAAGATCAGCAGGAATTGTTCTTCCTTCAAGCGTTCTCTTTTGGAAGGCAGAGACTGTCATATACAGCGGACACCAAAAGATATGGGGGCATAGACATTTAGTTGTACTAATTTGTCGCAATTGAACCATCGTGATTTTGAAGGACTGGAACAGGAAAAGAATTCGGTGTTAATCGCGCTGGAGTCATATCTTCATGCAGTTGACGGTACTTGCGTCAAATTCTTGTTAGAAATAACTCAATTCATCCGATTATAAAGCGAATGAAAGAAGCAAGCACTTGTACCAGACAGTGTCATTTTGTTTGAGCAGGATTTCGGCGGCGGACTCCTTTTAGAGTCTCAGTCCCATGGGATGATTAGTTCTTTACATGCATTTCACCTCGTCGCGCAGAACGCCGGATGGTGATTAGGGGGCCCTCCGAAACTTAATGCCGAAATTCATATTCTTTGAAAGAGGACATATAAGCTTATCACCAATATTTCACGGTCGGGTTACACTTCCTGGTGCTGTCGTCCTGGAGGCGGGATTTTTCACGGCAGTCTCATGTAGTGCTAGACAAGGCATTACTGCGAAGTCGCCTGAGTCAAAAACTGCGTAATAAACTAAAAAAGAAAAAATCACGCATTTTCATACGTGATCCTCATCCTTCAGTACTTCGGCTCCACTGGCAGGATGTTCCAAGTCTCCAATGTTTGCACTTCAACCATCAACCGAGAGTACAATACGGCGCATAAATACGCACTTTCCTACAATTTCCCTAAATGAAAATCGCAATTGTATATAACTCGCCTATCACAAAATGGTGAGTCTATACAAGCGAATCCCGGATTCTCCCACCAATAAGTAAACGGTTTTCGAACCAGAATATCTCCCTTCCGTGATCATCGTTTCTTAGATCAGTGGAGAGTGAAACACGGATTCTAAATGCGTCAGGTACAAAGTCCGCTTCAAGTAGATTAGTTGAACTCGGGTTCACCACCAAGGACTGTGTACACATTAGATAGTCGACAGTGCAAGACGAATGAGCCGGTAAATTCGGGTGTCAAATAAACGGCAGGTTAAAAACCATGAATACGCGATCAGATGCAACCATGCTGCTCGTTACGTGACGTGGCTATGTCGGTCAGCGTTGCTAACCATTGATAAGGTGATACCCAAAACTTATGAACAAAGTGGACCAGCAAGAATGACATCATGTTTCTCAGGCTACCATATCATTTCAAGCTTTGTTCAATCATTTTCAATCAGATCAAGCTCCAGTTAACGAGGCCATAGAGCGATCAAGCCTGCCACAGATTCTGACGGCGATGTGAATGGTTCTCCAGCGGACACCACGTTGTCAAGTGATTTCCGTTGCTCCGGAAATCGGTACTGCATATGACTAGCTGTGATCAGCACACGCTTGAAGCCGTTGTCCGTGCGCCTCATGTTCAAATCAAGACGACCACCCGATCGAGCTTCGGCCGCGCTAGCTAGCTACCTGAGCGTTCCCGTCATCGCCAACCACAACGAGGCCTGCGCTTTTGGTTAATTGTAAAAGAGCATCTACATCACAGAAAGTACCCTTGGTAGATTTAGAACTAGTCTGTTGGAATGGAAGTAGACACAATAAACAAGGTAAGATGGACCTCGCTGCCTCGTGATTCTCACAGACGTTGCCAGACAAACCGGGCAGAGACGACCATCAAAGAGTATCCAATGATGTAGAGATGGCTCCGCTCGGTCGCTCAATACAAAACCCACCCCAGCACAGCCAGCTGCACCGGTCTCTGCATCACCAGAGCTGTGCAGCCTGAACGTGGAAGAGAGCAGGTTAGCAGTCAGTTCAGTTACAATAACTGCGTCATGTATCCTTGTTCCTGACAGGCAGCATACATCAATGTAAAAGGAATCCGACGTATGAGCAAGAGCCACTTGTCCCGCTTGCTTCGGTATCCGGACCTTAAAACCAGCTAGATAGATCGGTTTTCGGGGTTTGAAAACATACTTTGAATTGTTTAGGGTTGTTACTAAAGTTGGACACGCAGGATCTGCAGCTGAACGTGATGCACAACAAACAAAGCGATAAGTCTTAGTGCTGGGACCTGCGGAGAGTAGTTACAATGCGGTGGGGTACGGCAGAAGAAGGAATGCATGAAGGTGTACGGGAGGCGTCAGCAATGACCTGTTTCGCTTACCTGCCTTGCTTTATGCAGCAGGCAAGGCGACCCGGTTGGTGACACCACGCGACGGCAAATGTGATATGATGTTATTAGTTGCATCATGGTCCTACGTGGACTGCGATACTGCCAAGGGCACCCACACCTATACAGGAAGATAACTGGGGTCCTCGATCAGCACTTTTGACTCAAAAGCGTGACTTCAAGAAAACAGTGTTTGGTTTGTGCATTACCATGTTTATAGAGCAAGTCGCCAAACATGCTCCATTCCTGAACCTGGAGGGCCAGGAGATTGTGTTGGTCAGACTCTAACCACTAACCAACCTGGTAGGAGACTGGGCGCCGTATGGACATTCTGAGTATAGACCAACGGGTAAAGGGGCAACACAAACCGCCACAAACCTGGTCCAGTCTAACCACTAACCAACCTGGTAGGAGACTGAGTGCCGTATGAACATTCTGAGTATAGACCAACAAACCGCCACAAACCCACAGGGTCCAGTCCCATCGCGACGAGTTGAATTAGCAAGAATCGAGCTGATTTTGGTCCTCGGAGTGGAAAAGGTACCTATTTTTCATACTCCAACAGATGTCCAGGCAGCACTATCTCTTTCACTGATCCAAGATAGTGATTTCTGTTTTGGCGGTGCTTCTCACTCCATAAACCGTGAAGCACAATGACGACTTGGTAATTGTATGTTGACTTCCGTGGGCATGTGCGGATCTCCAAGAAGCTTTCTCGAGTTAACCGGGTCTCATAATTAGAGGCGAAATTTGTCCCACCCCTAGTCAATAAGTGTGTCACTGGTAGGATGCTAGAATCTTCGCTTTTCGCTGACATTTGCGGAATAGAACTGCTGGATTAACATGATCCATTTTGTTAAACAGGAAAATCCAAGTTGGATAGCGCTTCCAAAGGTCCTTGTGCAACAAGCACACTTTTTGCACCCCTCCGGCACACGTACGGATGTCGATGGTGTTGAAAAGAAAATACGGATAAAATGTGTTGGTCCAACGCCGTGCGCTTTCAGTATCACTTATTTCGGTTATGGGGCATATGTGTAGTAGTCAAAAGTAGTAGCCAAAAGTAGCTAATAGATACCATGGGTTATGGAGCATCCTCGTTGGAATCTACCAACACAAGGAAAGTTACTTCTGAGACCTCAAAACATCCGTAGGCAAGAGGTTCTTATCACAAAACCTGCCCTCATCACACTGAGACATCTTTCCGTGGGTACCGTGTGACTCAAAGGAAACACGAGGACTGTTATGTTTACGCGTAGCCCAAGCCTAGACAGCGGCGATCGAAAAGCCAGAGTTGGGCTCCAGTCACGAAGCTTCCGGCATGTAGATCTGAACCCGACTGGTCGCACAAGCCTCTGGTAGGAAAAATGTTTTCCAATACGAGTCGCATGCAATTAATAGTTTAGTTAATCCTGGTGGGAGCACTCGCGAGTTTATTTGTCTCGATAGGGGGAGGACTAACTGCGCAGTACACAACTGAAACACCGTTCAACTGGGTGCTCCACATTAACGGGCGGAGGGTATCGTTCCAGGAACCTGATCGTAGCCTTTGACTCGAAAGCCTAACCCACAATGCAGTAGGTAATAAGATTCGCTTGACTAATGAGTCTGATCTGCTTGATTGTGAATACTGGCTTAACCCAAGAAAGCAAAGAACAGGGCATAAATGCCTCACATCTGATGCCACCGCAGGCGGCAAATACCCTTCGAGTCACATCAGGCTCTTCGTAAATCATAACTGCGTTTCGACCGAACCCTATAATTCGTCGACGGTCACGACGAACCACTAGGCAATCAGTTTGCAGTTTTTATGGTCTACATTTTCTAAACCATTCTTCCTCGGGAAGCTCCCATAAATAAGGGCACGCTGATCACCTGAAGGGACACCTTACTGGCTTCACACTGCTGTCGCAGATGACGGTACGACTACCCCCGGACTGATTAATGGTAGCGTGGGTAGTCACTGCTATTCGTCTGACTGATCCGGCTTGGCCTTTCAGGTATAGATAAACCATGTGGAATGAAGTTTTGATCGGAGTAACCCGTGAGATCACCACACAAACAAAACCACAAAGTCAAGCTGGTGGCTAATGTCCGGTCACAGCAATTGGCACCTTTAAATATGGTCGTTTATGTAGCAAAGCGAAGTTATTCATCCGTTCAATTCAAAGAAGAGTTT